CAACTTTCACCATCTACTCTGATAAACAAAGTTTTCTCATGGTCACATAGCTGGCAAGTTAAATTTTAAATTGTTCTATCCTTTTTTTATGCCGTGTAGTGGCGGTTGAGAATATCCACTACCCCATATCTCCCCGTGGGTGTCGTAAGAGGCGACAGAGGGAAACAGGAAGGAGATGGGCAGCACCATCTTCCTGATAACAGCAATGATATAATAAAAAACTGCGGTTGCCAACCCGCTCGCCAAGCGTGGCAACTATGGCAAATATCCCTCCATGAGTAACGACGCAAACAAGGCCCGCCCCCGCGGCCCCCAGTCCCCGGCGGCCCCGCTATTCCTGGCTACGGTGACGACCATGGTAACGGCGGGGCAGGGGGTGCTAAGAATCTCCGGTGGAGGTCCGGTTGCCACCTACGACGACTCGACCTGGCAACATATAACGCACGCACCCTGAGGACTGAGGAGAAGATACTGGAGTTGGAAGAAGAGGTAGACAAGTTGCGCTGGCATATTATTGGGTTATCCGAGGTCCGAAGAGAGGGGGAGGACACGGTAATCCTCGAGTCCGGCGACTTGTTCTATCACCGGGAGGGCGACCATCTGTCCCAAGGAGGTGTCGGATTTATCGTCCACAAGTCTCTCGTCAACAACGTTGTAAAGATTGGGAGTGTGTCGACGAGGGTCGCGTACCTGATACTCAGAATCACCAAACGGTATTCGCTGAAGGTCATACAGGCTTACGCACCAACCTCGGCACATCCCGATGAGGAGGTGGAGGAAATGTATGAGGATATTTCTAGAGCCATGCATTCCTCCAAAACCCACTACACGGTGTTGATGGGAGACTTCAACGCAAAACTAGGCACAAGAGAAAGCGGTGAGCTGAAGTTAGGGAAATTTGGAGTAGGGCAACGGAGCCGTAGGGGCCAGCAGCTGGCTGACTTCATGGAGAAAGAGGGACTCTTTATGATGAACTCTTTCTTCCAGAAGCGTCCCCACAGGAAGTGGACCTGGTTGAGCCCGGACGGTTCGACAAAAAATGAGATTGACTTCATTATGACGACCAGACGCCAACTGTTCAGTGATGTCTCAGTGATCGCAAGGGTGAAAACTGGCAGCGATCACCGAATGGTTAGAGGCACACTGAACCTAAACGTTAAGTTGGAGAGGTCTCGTCTAATGAAGTCAACGCTCCGTCCCCCTCGTGCGTCTAATCCAGAATCTCGAAACCTTTCAGCTCGAGGTTACGTAACCGCTTTCAGTGCCAAGAAGATTGCAATGCGGTGGACGATACGAATGACAAGCTCGTGGAAACTGTCCAAGCGGTCGGAGCTAAGTTCTGCAAGACGGGCCGCAGAAGAACACAAAAGCTCTCCGATCACACTCTTAATCTCATGCCTGTTAGACGGGAGATGAGGCTGCAATCGTCAACAGATTTGACAGCATACAGAAAACTGAACAGACAGATTTCCAAATGCATGCGGCGAGACTTACGCAAATTTAATACTGCTCGTATGGAAGAAGCGATTGAGCGAAACCAGGGCTCCAAAGTCTTTGCCAGAGATCTGTCTACCAGTAAGAGCCAACTGTCAAAGCTGAAGACTGAGTGTGGAAGCATCGTTTCCGGGACACCTGAGATTCTGAGTGAGATTGAGAGGTTCTATGGGCAGCTGTATACATCATCGTTGGAGCCACACGTAAGTGTGAGTAACGATCCAAGAGCGGGTCTTATCCGACACTATTCCGATGATATCCCGGACGTCAGTCTGAGCGAGATTAGAATGGCTCTCCAGCACCTTAAAAACGGCAAGTCCCCCGGCGAGGATGGAATTACAGCGGAGCTTCTGAAAGCGGGTGGAAAACCGGTACTTGAAGTCCTTCAGAGGCTCTTTAATTCCGTCCTCCATGGTGGCACTACTCCGGAGGCGTGGAGCAGAAGTGCGGTGGTCTTGTTCTTTACGAAAGGTGACAACACCCTCTTGAAGAACTACAGACCGATATCCCTTCTGAGCCGCGTCTACGTGCTGTTTTCGAGAGTCATTACGAATCGTCTCGCACGCAGACTCGACGACTTCCAGCCTCCCGAACATGCCGGTTTCCGAAAAGGCTTTAGTACCATAGACCACATACATACCCTTCGGCAAATTGTACAGAAGTCCGAAGAGTACAATCTGCCACTTTGCATGGCGTGTGCCTGGGACTATGAGAAAGCCTTTGATTCCGTCGAAATTTGGGCGGTCCTACAGCTCAGTCTCGTCAGCGGTGCCAAGTTGACTGTCGGTATATCGAAGTGCTGAAGTGTTTGTACAGGAGGGCTACGATGGCTATCCGAGTACAGACCAGAGTACGAAACCTATCCAACTGCAGAGAGGTGTAAGACAGGGTGACGTTATTTCCCTGAAACTCTTCACCGCTGCATTGGAAGACGTTTTCAATCTACTGGACTGGAAAGGATACGGTATTAACATCAATGGCGATTACATCACTCACCTTCGATTTGCCGACGATATAGTCCTTATGGCAGAATCGCTGGAGAACTTAAGCACTGTGCTCATTGACCTCAATAGTGCCTCCCAACGGATAGGTCTTAAGATGAACATGGACAAAACAAAGATCATGTTTAATGTCCATGTCACACCTATGCCGGTAGTTGTTGGGAGCACTAAGCTCGAAGTTGTTGACGAGTACGTTTACCTGGGACAAATAGTCCGGCTAGGTAAGTCCAACTTCGACCGAGAGGTCAATCGACGGATTCAACTCGGCTGGGCAGCGTTCGGGAAATTACGACACGTCTTCTCGTCAGGTATACCTCAAAACCTGAAAACTAAGTTGTACAACCAGTGCGTGTTGCCAGTGATGACATATGGAACTGAGACGTGGTCCTTCACTGCTGGCCGTATGAGGACGCTCAAAGTCGCTCAGCGAGCTATGGAGAGGGCTATGCTCGGAGTTTCTCTGCGTGATAAACTTAGAAATGATAATATCCGCAGTAGAACCAGAGTGACCGACATAGCCCAACGGCTTAGTAAGCTGAAGTGGCAATGGGCCGGCCATATAGCTCGAAGAACCGACAACCGTTGGGGAAAAAAGGTTCTCGAGTGGCAGCCTCGTACCGGTAGACGAAGTGTTGGGCGACTCCCCACTAGATGGAGTGACAACCTGGTAAGACATGCAGGAAGTCGATGGATGCAGGTGGCTCAGGACCGTGCTTTGTGGCATTCCTTGGGGGAGGCCTATGTTCAGCAGTGGACTTGTAAAGGGCTGTAATGATGATGATGATGATGATATCCTTTTTTGCCATTAAGAGCCAACCGCTTTTGAATCCAAAGTATTGAACTGGTAATGTGTCAAGAATTTTACAAATCAGTAAAATATCGGGAAGATTTTCTGCTGACTCTAAATTTTTGTTTAATCCTCGCCAAATATTCTAAAGTCGATATATGGGTAGCCATAATGTGATTGATTTCCTTTTGGTATTTAAAGAAATTAAGACAGAGTTCGTAACTTTTGCTTCCTGTTACTTTATTGTAAAAATACCAGTCATAGAGCAGACATTGTGCCAATAGTGAACCAGTAAAAATAATGAATGCTTTTAATGAAGAATAATTTTATTATTAATATTCATGAACTTCATTAAGTTTTGTAATCAGTAGTCATCACAACTTTAAATCATAGATGTAATTATTAAAGCTACAAGGCTCATTATGTTGTTTTGTTTTTCATTTTAATTTATTTATGATAGTTGTAAGGAGAATATTATATTTTCGGCATGTTTCTCTAACTTTCGCGCCTTTACTTATGTCGTCTATTGCTTTTAGGACATCTTATATTTGAAAAACGTTCTTTTCGGTAGCATTGTGTCTGTAGAAAAAGTGTAGGTGGTTAATACTTGAACAAACTCGTAGTATAGATATTACCAGTAATAAAGCACTAGTCAACAAATGGAACATTGTCAGTTTTTGAAGAATTTACTATAAAAATTATTGAAGTATCTTAAGTGAATATAAATGTAAAATAAAAAATGTATTAAAAAGCTTAATCACCAGTTGTTGACCAAATGGAACGTTACTGAAAAATCATAGAATTTGTGTTCCAATGGTTTACTAATCACAATCATTGATTTCAATTAGAATTTTCTGATAAAATAGGACTTAATATTATTGTTTTATCCAATATATTATACAATTAACTTGAAAATAGGTTACAATAATTGATATAAACAAAGATTTAATAGGCCTAAAATAAACTACCGTCATACACGTGCTTAGTAAAATGGCCGTTCGGAACGAAGTGAACAATTGTCGTTTCAGATTATGTCTTTCCCTTTTAGTTTTTTTTTTATATAAGGTATACCAACAGCAAAATACATGAAACATTAACAACAACACGATAACAAATGTATATGGTTAAATATGCTTCCCAATTACAGGTATACACAACATTGACCGTAATGTGTTGCTTATTATATTATAATGGTACTGAATACAAAATAACTCACATTAAGAAAAACTAACTAAGGAATGAGTGTGTGCTGAGAGGGTGAAAATAAATTGGTGAATTTAGTTATTATTACATGATTTGTAGAAGTACGGTAAGGATACCAAATGTAAAAAAAATGATGGAAAATTCAAAAGTAGGTTATTTAGGTTTAAAGTTTGAAATGGTCTACTACTGGTTCCTGATGTGGGACTGGCGCACCCACCTTAATTAAAGCAATTAACCAAAGGTAGACCATCATAAAATACTGTTTCATCTGAAAAAGTTGCCCACGTTCCCGTTTTAAACTACCTGAACAGTACACCAGCCGAAATTGGGGGTTACCCTACAATACCATAAAAACCCTTCTAGTTGTTTAGAATACGACACACCACAAATAAACAGACAAACATACATACATGTCATCATACATACATATATATCATCGAAAACATAACCTAATAAGGCAGAGGGGTGAAACCAACAGTTTTCACTTGAAATCGTAACGCTACCGTGACAGGCCGATGACGGCGGGGTCGCGCGTGTGGATAACGGGCGAGGGCGCGCTGCAAGTGCAGGCGGTGCGCGCGAGCGACGCGGGCGAGTACACGTGCGTGGTGACGTCGGCCGGCGGCAACCACACGCGACGCGCACTGCTGTCCGTCATCGAGCTGCCGTTCGCGCCCACCAACGTGCGTGCCGCGCGCCTCGACGCCACGCAGCGCGCCGTCAACGTGTCCTGGACGCCCGGCTTCGACGGCAACTCGCCGGTGCTCAAGTTCATCGTGCAGCGCCGCATCGTGCCCGAGTTCGGTGAGATTATTTTATTGCGTGATCAAGTTCACCGACTAGTGTTTTCACTTAACGGAAAGTGGGCTAGCCATCGGAGCTTTCTTCATTATTACTTTATAAGTAAAAAGTTAAAGTAAGATTACAGGTTTTTAGCGCCCCACTTTGAGGGTTATTACCACCACACTGATACATTACACGTTATCATTTTCTTTCAACTTCGGGTACGTAGTAAAACTGTACTCGTACTTATAATTGCAATTAATAATTTTATTAGTGCCGGAGAGGGTCGAACCCAGGTTGCACGCGAACCTCCCTTCATAGATGTATAATATCTTAATAAATGTATGTGTCGTAAAGATTAGACTGCGAGTATTATAAATTTAAAGTTTACAACTGTGTATTGTAATTAATAAACCTTTAAAATTGTACCTAACTCACAAAAAATCTATAATTATCTAATCTGCCTACATTTTGAAATTTGGGAATATTAATGATTTCCTAAATTTACGCGAACACTACACATTGAATAAAACTAAATTTACGGATTCTATCGCGTTTAATTAATTACTAAAAACCCGCGTGAAAGAACATATAGCTGACGTGAACCACCGGCGCTCCGGGAAGTCTGCAGTCAGTGAACATGTTCAAGATCGTCCCCACCATTACATCAGATTTGATAAACCACAAATCCTCGCAAAAGAACACCGATTCCTGCCAAGGATGATACGCGAGGCTATTGAAATTAAAAAAAACATCCTAATTTCAATAGAGAAGATGGATGGGTGCTGCCACCGGTTAGGATCCTATAATTAACAAAATTAAACCCAAACCCAAGCATGCCACTGCAAGACTTCAAGATACTTTAAGCTCGTTTTGCGTAAATCGGAACAAAAATTATTATTCAAAAACTGAAGGTAGCCGGGCTAACAATGGCATTGGGACGTCAAACATCTCAGTCCCCCCCCCCCCCGTGACCATGTATGCTGTAAAGCACCCGAAACGTCGGGAATTAAAAATAAGTAAAAGTAATTATTTAAACGCGATAGAATCCGTAAATTTAGTTTTATTCAATTTGGGAATATTTATAATTTTGCCAATTTTTCCAACTCTTGAAAGTTGCCACCACGCTTGGCAAACGGGTTGGCAACCGCGTCTTTTATTTTTATTAGGAAGACGCTGCTGACCATCTCCTGGTTTGATTTCCTCTGTCGCCTCTTACGACATCCGCGGGATGATTTCGGGAAGTGGATATTCTTACACCGTTATAATACACAACAAAATAAACTACACGGTAAATTACCTATACATTAAAATAAGGAACTGGTGACAATTTAAAAACCTATGTTACGTTTTTTTAGGTCCCACGCCAGACCCATTACTTAACTGGGTGACGGAGCCGATGAATGTGTCAGCAAATCAACGTTGGGTTCTACTGACGAGTTTAAAAGCAGCCACCTCTTATCAATTTCGTGTGTCTGCGGTAAACTCTGTTGGTGAGGGCACACCTTCGGATCCTACGGACGTGTTGACTCTGCCACAAGAAGGTACACTTAGCCCTATCTACCTACTAAAATTTACTCTATAAAGTAAAAATTAAACGACTGGTCGAATTCACTTAATTCAATGGATGCGTTTGGCAGAAAAAAGCGCTAGCAAGCGCTTGTAAGCAAAATGGCGATCGTAAGCGGTAAGCGGTGTCAAATCCTAAGTACCTATTCATATTCTAGGACACGAAATTATTTTTAACCGGGGAACCTAACCTAATTTAAATATATGTTTGTAAAGTATTCATACTAAAAACTTACCAATCATGAATTTTTAATAACATGTATAATATGTTTATTCATGTCATTATATTACTTAAAACTAATATTGCACAAAACAACTTATAAACTCTACTTCAAAACAAACAAATTAAATAAGCAAAATGGCGGATTGTGTCAGTGCTACTGAAGTTAGCAAACGTGTTCTGGCCGAAAACTGTTTAGTTTCACCATTTTGCTTACAAGCGCTCGCTTTTTTCTGCCAAACGCAGCCAATGTATCAGGGCAATCTTAACAAATATTTTATTCTCATTTATACGCCTTCACTTCTTTCTAAACATTTTATACATTTGCACCATCATAAACCTAAACATTCTGAAAACATATTCGTTGTTATCATGCAGCCAGTGACTTGATATGCTGCCAAGGTATGGGATGTTTTAAAACCAAATTTTAATGAAATTGTCTTTATAAAGCTTTGATGAAATTAATTTGTTAAATGTATCATTTTCCGGCTGCATCTTTAATACTGTGACGTCTTTTCTGCATGTGAAGCTTAAATTTTGTCATGCTCTTCTTTCAGTTATAATTACTATTACATTTACTGATTCATCTTATTTTTAATACATTAACTAAACTGTAAGCACCCCTTGCATGTATGTAACTAGATTTTAATTGTACCGTGATTAGGGTTGACTTTAAGAATATTAATTCATTGTATTACTGCGTTTATTCTTAAATATCTTTCATACAGATAGTGGCTATATATTTTATTATAAAATATTATATTACGTTACACAATACTTAAATAATGCCCATTAAACTATAAAATCAGATTAATAATAAATACATGATAATTAATCATTTTACAGCTCCTTCCGGACCCCCTCTGGGTTTCATGGGATCAGCGCGGTCTTCTTCAGAAATCATAACGCAATGGCAACCACCGCTTGAAGAACATAGGAACGGTCATATTCTGGGATATGTGATAAGATATAGATTGCGAGGGTACGACAACAGTCCGTGGACATATCAGAACATTACCAACGAAGCACAAAGAAACTATCTCATACAGGACTTGATCACTTGGAAAGACTACAACGTACAAATCGCGGCTTACAACGATAAAGGAGTGGGAGTGTTCTCAGACAGTTACACGATAAAAACTAAGGAGGGCGTCCCGGAAGCCGCCCCTGACAGTGTTCGATGTGAAGCTTATAATTCCACAGCTATATCGGTATGGTGGACACCGCCTAATCCACAGAAAATCAACGGAATTAATCAAGTTTGTATACGTGTATACCTTATAAACAAAGTAAAACTATTTTCTACATTTACACCTGCAGTACATTAACATAGTTTTTGTTGAGTATTTAAGTGAAAACCTTTAATAATATAATATAGCAATTTAGGCAAGATTTGTAAACAAGAAAAATTTATTACTATCATCTACTTTTAGGGTTACAAAATTCAAGCATGGCGCTGGGAGGAAAGCGAGAATGCTAATGTGGAACAGAAAATAGTCAGCATCCCACCTAACCTTTTGGATCCTTTGACTGAGCAGTCGGCCATCATTGGTGGTCTTGAAAAGTTCACTGAGTACAACATATCGGTGCTTTGCTTCACTGAACCTGGGGATGGACCTAGAAGTGATTATGTCTTGGTCAGAACTAAGGAAGATAGTAAGATATTCATTTATACTTAAAAACTTTCTAGGTAAATCAAGTACAAAATATTTAAAAGTACAAATAAAATAAAATATTAAAAATCTACTTAAAGGACACCTAGTAGTAGTCGTGTCTCGGATGTAGGCCTCCTCAACCCCTTCCATTTCTCTATGTTCTGTACAATCTTCAACCAATGCATTCCCATTCTCTCTTGGAACTCACTCTTTTTTTCCTCTTGGTTCCCATTCCTTAATCCTTTTAGCCTGTCTTTGCCATTTCCATACTGCTTTTATGCCCTGCCCATTCATATTTTAAGCTTTGAATTCTATATGTTAAAAGAACAATTAATGAAAAACTTCGTACTTATAATTTTTTTTTAGTCCCGGACGAAGTGGGAAGTTTACAATTCGACGACATATCAGACCGTGCCGTTCGTGTATCTTGGACTCCCCCAAAGAAGTCTAATGGAATACTTATTGGCTATAAGCTCTCATATCAAGTCAAAGACAATAACGAAACCTACAAAGAAGAAATCCTACCTCCAAACATTACCAGTATTAGAGTGGAACATTTACAGGTAATTCTTTTTAGAAGTTCATTATGTAACGACTATATACAATTTTTTTATAGATTAACAATGACAAGTGACAAGCCCACATGATGGTAAGTGGATGCTGTGGTACATAGACATCTACATCTATCCTCGGTTAAGAATCAAAATGTAAATATCTTATCAACCTGAGGACTAAGATCGAATGCCTCGTATCCAGTAAACTGGGTCTCCGATTCTCTACATATACACCTCACGCAACACAGTAGCATAGAGTTGCTATTTTACGCTGGTATTTAGTGAGAGCATTATTTTTCCCCGGTTGGGCCGACCTATTCTTACTACAACCATATTATAGTTGCATTATGGCTCAACCACGTGTTAAAATTATTATTAAAAATATATAATTATGATTAATTGATCACATCTTGTAATAGCTGTTTATAGGAGCAATGGCATTCCTAAGAATCCCGAATACATCGTAGTTGATGAATGTGTAAAAATTATTGACTGTTCAAGTTGAAAATACCGTATCCGGTGCTGTGCAACTTAATCTATTTTTTACGCCAAACGGCATCGCACCTACTGTAATGTTCCTGTTATAAAGATAAGAAAACTATTCCTTCAACTCTAGTCCGGTTGAGACACCGCCAAATTTCTAACTATAGGCGACTACTGAGAATTGCTTGAAACCTAGGTCCACATGATCAGTAGATCGGCAGTCTAGCTTCTGATTACGTCAGATCAAAAAAGAAAGATAGACGAAGTGCTGGGTACACTTTTAAGTGACGGATAAAAATGTGCTCAACTTCATGACACGCACTCACGCACACATTTGCACTTAAAGCTATGTTGTTGGTTGCAAATGGTTTTAGTACACATAGTACGCAATAAGCTGAGTGCACCGTTGGCATGGTTTTCGAGCCACTACTGAAGCACTATGCTGAACTATGAAGAAGCTCAAGAACGTTGAGAGGCTATGCTCGGCGTTTTTCTGTATGTTAAACTTGAAAATTAGGATATCCGCAATAGGATTCGTAAGCTGAAGTGGCAATGGGCCGGCCATATAGCTCAAAGAAGCTCAAAGGAGCCTTGTGCCTCGCTTCGTCCTAGAATGCCTCACCCTACACTTCACTTGGTAAGCGAAGTGTAGGGTGAGGCGAGGCACATTGGCGTGGGGAGGGGGACACTAGACGGAGTGACGACCTGGTAAGACGTCCATGCTTGAGGGAGGTCTGTGTTCAGTAGTGGACTTGTGAAACAGTAGTTGTTATTTTGTTTGTCGGTATGAGACAATGGGTGTGTTTGGCAGAAAAAATCGCTTGTAAGCAAAATGGCGAAACTAAACAGTTTTCGGCCAGGACACGTTTGCTAACTTCAGTAGCGCTGACACAATCCGCCATTTTGCTTATTTAATTTGTTTGTTTTGAAGTAGAGTTTATAAGTTGTTTTGTGCAATATTAGTTTTAAATAATATAATGACATGAATAAACATAATTATTATACATGTTATTAAAAATTCATGATTGTTAAATTTTAGTATGAATACTTTACAAACATATATTTAAATTAGGTTAGGTTCCCCGGTTAAAACTAACTTCGTGTCCTAGAGGAAAATAGCTACTTACGATTTGACAGCGCTTACCGCTTACGATCGGCATTTTGCTTACAAGCGCTTGCTAGCGCTTTTTTCTGCCAAACGCACCCTATAAGTAAATGTGGGGCGGGGCTTCAGGCGAGCACGACGTACTCGCTGTGGTTGAGCGCGCTGACGGGCGTGGGCGCGGGCGCGGCGCGCGGTGCCAGCATGCAGTCGGGCGTGGAGCCCGTGCTGCCCGCCGCGCCGCGCAATCTCGCGCTCTCCAACATCGCCGCCGCCTCCGTGCTGCTGCAGTTCACGCCCGGCTTCGACGGCAACTCCTCTATATCGCTCTGGACCGTACAGGTGATTGAAGCGACGCCTTACAATCTTCCGCTCACCACACGTTGCTTGCTAGTGCAACTTGCGACATGTCTTACACAATATCATTTTATATGAGAAGTTGCGTTTTAAGAGTTCGGTTTCTAGAGTATGTAAATACACAAAACAATGCCTCGGTGGTTTGCTCTAAGTTTTTACATATTTTTTATTTCTTTTTAATTGTTGTACTGGGAATAACCGTGGTTTCATTTAAAATTTTAATTTACCAGATAAAGTATGTTAAAAATTTTAGAAGAAAACATATTACAAATTTCTAAGGTGACATATTTCTAACTAATTAACATCGCCCGCTAAGAAATCTACCTACCATGTCAAGTTAGGTGAGGGAAATACGGTTCGGCAATTAAGGCAGGCAAAAATCTTAAACCATACAGCCTTGTCTGAGTTGCATTTCGTTCACAAAACTTCAATCAATTCAATCAAAACAATTTTCTAATGTTTAACGCACTAGACAGATATGACGAGAGTATATCAGAATCACTTAGCGGATAAAAACTCTCTAATATTTGTATCACCATCGAATCAACTGTTATATCCTTTTCAATAGTAGTTTACATGAGCTGGACATTAAATAAAGTAAATCGCACCACTTTTAGTTATCAAAACTTACTTCAAACCATTGCTTAAACAATATTACAGGAGCAGCAATCCACTGTTGATCAAATTCCCGACAAAACTTCGGTCTGAATAGGTCTAGATATTAAACTTCTGATAATCTGGTATAAACTAGACGATTATATCGCCATCTATCTAAAGCTACACGGTTTTTCTGGTATATCCCATTGTCACCTCTTACAACACCCACATGACGAAATGAGGTGATGAATTCTTTTACACCGTCACCACAGTGCACATTATTTCAATATTGTTAAATAATATTTTAAACTCCCAGGCACAAACCGCTCGCAACTCTTCCTGGGTAACTATCTACGAAGTGAATGATCCGGACGCCCAGTCTATACTTGTCACTGGCTTAGTTCCTTTCACAACTTATCGACTGAGACTGATCGCTACTAACGTGGTTGGATCTTCACCACCTTCGGAGCCGTGCAAAGAGTTCCAAACAATACAGGCACCGCCGCAACACCCGCCGCGGAATGTGACCGTTCGTGCGGTCAGCGCCAATAACTTACGAGTTAGATGGATAGTAAGTATTAAAGCTTTTATCGCAGCTGAATAACTTGTTTAGTTTCTGGCCTCTTTTTTTAAGCTTTCAATTCCATTCCCGTTAGTTTATACTTTGTATATCCTAAAAAAATTAAAACACTAACAAAATATTTTTTAGATGTAAGTGACAAGCCAGCACATAATCCACCTATTGGTTAAGAAATAATGTGGCTCTTGGGCTATGTCTATCCACATCTAAGAATTATTAATGAAGTTATGTTGTCACAACTGAAAACTAAGACAATGCTTCGTTGCTAGTAAAAACTATACGTTATACTTATACGTGGTAGAGCCATGCTGCAGTTATATTAGTAGTATATTTGTAGCACGAATGGCTCGACCGGGGAAGGACCACACTCTCACAGAATACCAGCGTGAAGTAGCTTAATGCTGCTGTGTTTCGTATGTTGAGTGTAGAGAACCGAGACCCTTTTTACTGAAAACGAGGAATTCCATCTTAGTCCTCGCGGGTGACAACGCATCTGCATTTTGATTTGTAATGGAGGATAGATGTAGATGTCTATGGGCCACAGCAACCACTTACCATCAGGTGGACTGTGTGCTTGTTTGTCACCCTATCCAATAAAAAAAGAAAGAAAACGATATCTGGTTTTCTATACTCAAAATATATAATAAAATACACTGATTTTGACCAGAGCTGCAGCAGTTTTATACAGCTGCAGCGTGGCTGTACCACAAATTTAAAGGATGTTTCTATATCTTTACAGCCCTTACAACAAAGTGAGTGGTATGGTAACCCTAAAGGTTATAACATTACCTACAAACGAAGCGGCAGCAACGATACTCTCTTTAGTATAATTGAAGACCACACGGCGAACTCGCACGTATTGTCCAACCTTGAGGAATGGTCTGTGTATGAAATTCGCATGACGGCTATTAACGAAGTCGGCGTGTCAGCGGAAAGTCCCACAGCTGTGGAAAGGACAAGAGAAGCCGGTACATATACAACCTTAAATATATTCAAGTTTTAATTATTATGCGAAACAAGTTATTTGTACTAATTAATATATTTTTTGTGCAGTGCCTTCTTGCGGTCCAAGCAATGTCTCTGCGAACGCGACCTCCTCAACAACGGTCGTTGTCCTTTGGGGAGACATCCCAGTACAAGATCAAAATGGTTTAATTGAAGGCTATAAAGTATGTTATGCTGCAATTGTTCCACCGCCGAGGCCGGAACATCAGAAAGTGGAGTGCCAATCGATTCCTTCAAATCAGACCCACACTGTGACGTTAACGGAATTAAGGAAATATGTTGTATATCAGATCCAAGTGCTAGGATATACAAGGTTAGGGGATGGAGCTTTAAGTGATCCGCCCGTAACTGTCAGAACCTTTGAAGATAGTGAGTAATGTTTTATAAATTTCTTTTAGACTTTCAAGCTATACAGGATTTGCTTATTACGATAAATTATAACTCCATCGTAATCAGCCTGTAAAAGCCCACTTTTGGACTAACCTTTCCAATTGTAGTGTAGGGAAGAATTACCTTCATTCTCATATGCTTAGCAGTCACACATCATTTTAACAACTTTTATATTTTATGTAAAACAGAGCTTAAGACCAAAAAATAATCCTGCGGTTAATTTCAAGTTTAAAGGAACATTTTGTTTTGTAAAAGCTAATAAGTTAATAATTCATCGTTTAAAGCTTTAGAGTAATAAAGTTTTCTTATAAACGAGCAATATTAATAAATTTTTTATTAAACAATTATGCCCAAATACTCAACTGCTACTCAATTTTAAGACGCCGCGCCGTTGAGGCTTATGCTGTCTCTAACACTTTAAGTCAAAATGACAGTGACACTACGAGACTTAACGGCGTTTTAAAATTTAGTAGATTTTGAGTATTTGAGCTAGTTTCGAATTAAAAAAAAAATTGAATCAAAAATTTCCTGACGAAACTCGTTTGTTTGATGATTTTTTTTCTAACATGAATTAAAGCTTGCATAATTTTTCAGCCCCGGGTCCGCCGTCTAACGTGTCATTTCCCGATGTGACATTCACGACAGCGCGCATAATTTGGGACGTCCCAGAGGACCCTAACGGAGAAATATTAGCTTACAAAGTCACATATCATCTCAACAGCTCCACGCAACACATGTTCTCTAGAGAATTTCTTCCGTCTGACAGGACTTTCAGGTATTTCTAATGAATACTTAGCAATCTTCTGTTTAATATAAGCTATTGGATAAAACAGCCTGTGTGACGTGGTTTTTCGTCATCAGTTTTTAATGTTATATTTTCATTCATAAAATGGTTTTTTGAAGGAAATATTAAAATATTTAGAATTTAGTAAAACATGGTATCTATCTTTGAGAATGAATCAATTGCTAAAACATACAAATGTGTCAACTTGGATATGATAAAGAGGAATCAACTAATTGATGTATATAAAATATGATATATGAATAACAAAATGTACATACTGTTATATATAACCATACTCATTCAAATGGTCCTGTTGATCTGCGACTGCTGATCATGAGGTCCTGGGTTTAAATTCCGAAGTGAGTCAAGTCAGTAAGGTTTTTACAGATTTTCTCAGTAGCAACACGGAGTCAGGAAGTGTAATGGAATATAAAAATTGGTTCTTTTATTTTTAAGCAACAATAGCATTGAGTGGTTCAAATTTTTTTATTCAATAGTAATTCCGGTCATAATAGCACATCATTTAAGTGATCCTTTTCTAAGTACGTTTTACTATTCGAAAAACGAGATACAATCTTACGTAAGAAGTAGGAATTCGAGAGATATATACGTATTACGTAAGAAGTAGGAGGTATAGGAGAAGTAGGAGGGGGGTTCTAGAAATCTTATGTACCCTTACCTGGGGGTTGATGGTTTGGGGGGGGGGGCAAAAAACATCCTTACCGTAATTAATGAATGGCCCCTTTGACTTGGTACAGATATCTGATAGTAGAAAAATGGGACAAAGAGAAGAAATTTACAATGAAGATCTTGTTTGCGTCGAATTATTTTGAAAAAGCCAAACTGTCAATTTTTTCTGTTTCTGTATAATACTGGTAGTATGCAAGATATGTAAACAAAGCGTGATGTAATCCTGTTTCTATTCTAATTTATATAAATTTACTATGTAACATGAATCTATTTCTAAGATTGAAATGTATATACAAAATATGTGAAAGGGTAAAATAGCGGCATAATGATGTATATTTTTTTTATAGGACAGGGTGACAAACGAGCACATAGTCCACCTGATGGTAAGTGTTTGCTGTGGTCCACAGAGATCTACATCTATCCTCGATTACGAATCAAAATGCATATGCGTTGTCACCCGTAAGGACTAAAATGCAATGCAGCATTACGCTACTGTTTTACGCTGGTCTTCTGTGAGAGCGTGGTCCTTCCCCGGTCGAGCCGACCCATTCGTGCTACAACTATACTACTAATATAACTACAGCATGGCTCTACCACGTATATAATATAATCATGTGACTCTAGTGATGTATATAGTATATTCTACGAAATTTTCTTCCACCAGGCGTTTACGAATAGCAGCGGAGAAAATTATTTTGTTAGGAATTATGCGTAGGATTTATGCGTCAATGTTCTTTTTATATATTCGTTTTATTTTTGTGTTAATTAGATTAGAAATGGATAAACCAAACTACAGATACATATTTCTAAGTAGTAGAAAATATAAAAAGGGAGCTATGGTCAACCAAATCTAAGAAATAAATTTTGACAGCTGTCAGACTTATTGCACCAAGCATGCCAACCAAAAAATGGGAACGCACATTATTCGATTCTTAAAAAAAATCGATATCGATTATTTAGAGTTGGTAATCATTTACAGTTTGGTTTGAATAAATTAAAAACGGATAATTTAAAACACAAGATTTATCAGTTTCTTCGTATTTTGTTACTGCTTATTTCTAGAGGCACAGTTATAAAAACTTAAGATTGAAACTAGATTAAAAATAAATTTATTCAATCACTTTCAGTACAACTAGTAGGGATGTCGTTATGATTTCTTATATTTACGCGAACACTATACATTGATTAAAACTACTTTTACGGATTTTATCGCGTTTTATTTATATTAATTTTAATACCCGACGTTTCGGGTGCTTTCCAGCACCCATGGTCATGGGGGACTGAGGTGACTGACGTCCCTATGTCCGGGTTAACTTTGAGATCGGGACGTCAGTCACCTCAGTCCCCCGTGACCATGGGTGCTGGAAAGCACCCGAAACGTCGGGTATTAAAATTAATATAAATAAAACGCGAGAAAATCCGTAAAAGTAGTTTTAATCAAGGGATGTCGTTGTTTATATTAATTATTATTTGATTTTCAATAATGCAGTCAAAATTAATGTCTCTTTCAGTCAACTATAATCATTTTTTCTTTTTTGTACCACTTTTGCCCAGTCATCCTTTGTGACATGGGCACATGCTTCAATGAATTTTTTTTATAGCATTGGGTGACAAACGAGCACACAGTCCACCTGATGGTAATTGGATGCTATGGCCCATAGACATACACATTTATCCTCGATTTAGAATCAAAATGCAAATGCGTTGTCACTCCTGAAGACTAAGATGGAATGCCTCGATTCCAGTAAAAAGGGTCTCCGGTTCTCTACACTCACCATATGAAACACATCAGAATTACGCTGCTATTTTACGCTGGTATTTTGTGAGAGCGTGGTCCTGCTTTAGTTGAGCCGACCCATTCGTGCTACTACTATAATATAGATGTAGAGTGGCTCTACCACGTACAAAAAATTATTATAGAAGAAACAGTTCAAAAAGTTAAAGCCGAGTCACAAAATAAGAAGACAAACACAAAATTATAAAATTACACACATTAAGCTCTCGAAACAGAAACAAAACTTTTTTATTGAATATAGATTATGAATAACACTTATTGAAAGTCACTTTTTTCATTTACCACTGGTTCGCAAAAAAAAAACCTCTGTCCTGAGAAGAACGAGCAAGAAACTCAATTGGAAACTCAAGAACAATCATGCGTGTTACAATTAACAACACAAAACAAATTAGAAATAGCTTGGTAGCGATCACGCTTCCCAGGGGTTATTATCATCCATAAATTCCTCAATATTAAAATAACCCTTTTTATACAAACTTAGTTTAATAAAGTTTTTGAACTTTGTGTATTTACGTCAAATTTTGTATATTTTCTGGCATTTTGTTATAAAAGCGTATACATCGCCTCAAAAATGAATTACTGATTCTGTGGAGTCGAGTAACTGGTACCGAAATGGCGGGATATTGAAATTATGTAGTGGTTATTTTAGCACGGCCTTGTATATGAATTTTTTTCCTACAAAAATTTACTTTGACAAAGTGAAAAAAATAAACTTGTTTTTTCATGATTCATGTAATTTAAGGAATTTTGAAAATAAAAATTAAATGAAACAAATAATACATACATATTATACAGAAATTAATTATTCGATTATTAGAATATTTTTACCGATTATTTGAATATTTTTCCGATTATTCGCATAATAATGAATTTTAATAATTCAAACACTACGGTACATAGCGACATGTCATTGAAACGACGACAAGTAAAAAAGTTAATACTAGTTATTTTTTAATATTTGCTTTGTTTGAAAAATTCAAATTGAAATAAGTGATAAAAAACCATAAACGTTGTAATGAAATATAGATAACTTCATAATTCTTCGGATTTACGTAAAAGGTTATTTTAAATCGTGTGAGTACGCTTGTGCAAAGTTATTGCGGAATGATTAATGTGAAGCGTCAAAAGGTATTTCTTAGATTTGGTTGACTATAAGTATGTGTTAAATGTCAAAGATTCAACCACTGAAGCATTGTTTTGTGCATTTACGTTTTATAGAAACCGATAAACTTTTATTTAAAACGCAATTTTTCAATTATAATGACATTGTATCACATATAAGTGCACCTCAGTCACAACTAACGACACCTGGTGAGCCGAGGACTATTAACCGTCATTGTGTGTGGTCATCACAACGTGTTTTTTTATAGGATGAGGGTGACAAACGAGCACACAGTCCACCTGATGTTAAGTGGTGACTATAGATATCTATATCCTCGATTACGAATTAGTGCAGAAGCATTGTCACCCGTGGAGGCCTAAGATGAAATGCCTCGTCTCCAGTAAAAAGTATTACCGGTACTCTACATTCACCATGCGAAACACAACAGCGTTGAGCTGCTATTTCACGCTGGTATTCTGTGAGAGCGTTGTCCCACCGCGGTCGAGCCGACCCGTTCGTGCTACAACTATAGTAGTAATATAGCTGCAGCATGGCTCTACCACGTGCTAAATATAGCTGCAGCATGAGTGTACCGTGTGCGTGTGCGCAGGGCGACGGAGCTGGCGCAGGAGCGCTACTACGTGTTCTGGGTGACGGCGCAGACGCGGCTGGGCTGGGGCGGCGTGGCGCGCGCGCTCGTGCTGACGACGATGAACCGCGCCGCGCCCGCGCCTCCCGCTCGCCCCAACATCGCGCGCTCGCTGCTGCAGCCGCACCACATCACCTTCTCCTGGACGCCCGGCGACGACGGCTATGCGCCGCTCAGGTACCGTCTGCCCTTGCCTAATGGACTCCACATACGAAGCGATTCGTCCTTACGGTCAATCTGAAAGGATATCGTGACAATAGATCGCTCAAAGCTTACCACTGACACATGAAACTATTAGTCGTTGCGATCGATCACGTCCTTATTTGAAACGGAACGACTAAAACGTGCTATCACAGACAGAAATCCGAATAAAAAATTACGTGCCATATTTTAAAATGGAAAATGAGCTTCGTTTCTATGCTTTGAATCCTCGGCGTCGACATATCGAGTGACGTGCAGTTTCGTAGTCACTTGGAGGAGAAGGCCAAATTGGCCTCTAAAAATCATGGCGTGCGCAGCAGAGCCGGGCAGTATTTCATGCCGGCACCTCGCCTTCAACTTTACAAAGTACGCAGGTTCGGCCGCACATGGAACACCGTTCCCATATCTGGGCTGGGGCTCCCCAATGCCAGCTCCTTCCACTTGACCGTATCCAGCGCAGAGCGGCTCGGATCGTCGACGACCGAGTACTTTCCGGTCGGCTCGATTCACTGGCGCTACAGAGATGTTGCATCTCTTTGCATTTTCTTTCGCATCTACCACGGGGAGTGCTCTGAAGAAATGTTCGGATTAATCCCAGCCCCCAAATTTCATGAACGCACTACGCAGCAAACTTCCCGATACAATCCACACCATCTAGATGCTTGGCGGTTCCACCACTGTACGTTTCACTCGGAGTTTTCTTGCACGTACGACCTCTCAGTGGAATAATTTACCACCGGCGATTTTTCCGGACCGATACGACCTAGAGACCTTCAAGAAAAGAGCTTACTCCTTTGTAAAGAGCCGACAACGCACCTGCAATTCCCCTGGCGTTGCGGTTGTTCATGGGCGGCGGTAGTCACTTAACATCAGGTGAACCGTATGCTCGTTTTCCCCCTCTTCTACAAAAAAAAATCAACCATAATTAATAATTAAAAGGTTTATTTTATATACTACAGGTACTATACAGTGCAACAAAAGGAAGAAGGTGGAACTTGGCAAACACTTCCCGAACGCGTGGATCCATTCGCCACATCGTACACAGTGGAGGGATTGAAGCCATACACCGGCTACCAGTTCAGGATCCGGGCCACTAATGATATTGGACCAAGCCGCTACAGCAACGCCACCGAGATAGTCCGCACTTTACCTGCTGGTGGGTAGTTACTTAATTTTTCATCTATTTTTGATCTTTTATCTGAATATCGTAACTTTTATGGGAAAAGCATTGTATATAGGTTTGACAAGTGATTTATATTATAAAATTATGCATTTGAACAGCCCCAAGCAAAGCTGTGGAAAATCTGCGAGTAGTGCCAATCACGCCAAGCAGCGTACGTGTACAGTGGTCACCACTAGGAGAGCAGCACTGGAGCGGCGACACGCGGACGGGCGGTTACCGAGTCTTTTACCAGCCTCTCACCGACTTTCCCACCTCACTGCAGCACACTATGAAGCAAGAGGTGCCTGGCATTAAGGTAACGCAATATTTACTAAAGATTATAATTTCATGCACAGAATATCAATGACATTTTAGGGCGCTTGTACACGTTAAGGGGTCTATGCAAGAATTCATAGCATTTCGACACACGGACTGTGTACAATGCTCTGGCGCTGACAAAGAAAAAATCTTATCTGCGCTAGACACGATAAACTCTGTTGTTGTGGTGAAGGGAGGGGCGGAGTACCTACTTGTATCTACTCAAATTGTCTGAAGGTCCTTGACTATTTTTCTACATATTGTAGCATTAAAAGAAACTGTTAGAAATAGATATTGCCAGTAGTTATAAAATTAGAGGGTGTTTTATTTCACGAATCCGTATAAAATAAAAAATCTAAGAATACCCACTACGTCACAATATCTTCCCGTGAGTGTCGTAACAGGCGACAGAGGGCACTGCCAAAGGTATCGGCAACAGCATCTCTCTAATAAAAACTGGAAATTATAGAAAACTGCAGTTGCCAACCTGCCTGCCAAGCGTGGTAACTTTAGCAAAATTTTCCAGATAAAGCAATCTACGGAGAGTCCTATATTCAGAAATAGACTGATAGTCTGTAATCATACTACATCCCCATGAGGTAACGGTGTGATGGATTCATTTACGTTACCACTACACGGCAAATGAATAACTGTTCCCTCCTGATTATATAAGTATGCAATGCAAGAAACTTAATGTAATTTGTATTTATAAATTTTAGTAATTGTTGTCCTCTTCCTAAGTTTCTCTTTCATATATATTCTTATTGTATATCTACATCACTTAGTTTTATTTGAAATATAACTTAAACGGATTCGCAACTTTCGGTGTTTAAGTAATCCGTAGTGTCGTTTAAAAATTGTACAAATATTCGAAACAAATAAGTAGTTTACCTAAAGGCTCTATGCGAACCACGTCGCGGGCTCGCGGGCACAATTAGTGTTAAATATAACAATAACTATGATTATAACTGCTTCGTTGATCAAGTGGTCGCAAATGCGGCTGCTAATCTTGAGGTCCCGAGTTCAAATCCCGGGTCAAGCCTATGAATCAGTTTCTTAGTTATTAGTTTATCCGTTGAGAAATTCTTAGTAGCAGTCCGGAGTCAGGACGTTGGTGATGTTTCACCACCATGCCTCAAAGAACGTAAAGATGTAGGTTTTATGTCTCATTGGAACATGCAGGGAATTGAGTGCACTCGTGCACTATAATTCTATCTTGTTCAGATGGCTAGCCTCAGTTGGTGAACATAACGAAAATAAAGTCTGGAGAAATAAATAAACATGTTAGTTCGCCAACACACATTACACAGATGGCTCTGGGAGTGTAATAAAAAGAGTGTGAGAAATAAAAATAATTATCCGAATTTAAAAAAAAACGCTATTTTCTTTCATAAAATTTAAAAAGTTTCTGTCTGACACCGTCCGTAAATTCATGGATACCCTATGCGCCCGAGTGACGTAATCACTGTAAAGTACACCGCCCGCGCCGCTGCCTACACAACATTCTAATAAAAACTCAATAGGTACACATAACCTGTGATGTAACTTTTCCTTCATACTTTCATCCTGGCTTAGGGCAGCAAAAATTGAGGAATTAAGGAAAAATTGAAATTTTACTAAAAAAAAAGGTTGTTATTTTTCATTGGATTTACGTTCTATAAGTGAAACCAAACCACTGGTTTCAAGGATAACGGTGTTTACACTAACAACCTGTATAATATGCAATAATCATTTTTTTTTTCTTCGTAGTTAACATGATTCTATTCATTACAAACAAACTTGACTAGTCATCGTTTACATGTCTCTATTTATCTTGTTTGGAGCAGACGTGACAAATTTTCGTGGCTAGATCCGACTAAATTCTAGTCATATACTTGATGAATTGGTCCTATCTGCAACAGACACGGTGAAATTTCTTAGCGTGTAAAAGCGCCCTCATAGTTTAACAAGCCTAGCAGACGTTGTTCTACCCTTTACCAGGAGAACGCGTTGTAGGCGATTGAATGTTAAAGTTTTTTTAACGCTGTTTACGTAAATAATTTTTTGTAAATACTTGTTGAAATAGTTTTTTTTAGTGTTTATCTAGTATATTATGTATATTACCCATCTATTTGATAAATTTTAATGGCAAAACGTTCCTACTATAATTATTGCGTAGGATAGACGCTATATGAACGAAAAACTGTTTCAGATATATCATTTTTTAAGTTACCGAAGTATTTTAGTAGGAGGTTATAAAACGTGAATTTATTTATTTTTTATTGTTAGATGGGTACTTATAGCAAAAAAGAACTAAGTAATAATTTATCTAATACCTACGAACTTTATTACAAAATTTAGTTGAAATTTGATTCACTATCCAAGTATCTACTTACATACTTGTCTTTTGTATTTAAAATATTTTAAGTTATAATAACACAAAACACTGAAATTAAGACTTTGTTTACCAACAAGATTTTTTAACTAAGTAGAATACGATCACATTTCTGTTAGAAATCGTATTTCAGGTTTATTTGTTGTTTACATTTTCTATCTATTTCTTCCGAGCCAAGCATCGCGATTCCCGACGAATGGCCTTACAAGTTGCAAGCCTTAGGCATCGCAGAACTCACATAGGTGCGAAAATATGGTCAGTCGATCATAGTCAGAATAGGTATTTTACCTAAATAACTTAATTACTATTTCGCAATGTATTTTGTTACTCTTTATTGACATCAAAGTTACATTTAGCTTGCGAGCGCGATTTATCTAATTAAAAATAATTATGCATGCATTAGGCAAGCAGTCAGCGTCAAAGGACTACAACTTCTGTACGTAGTACTATTATTTATGCTGTTACTTTACGATAGCTAGTGCGATGAGCATTACTCACTTTTTTACAATATATAATATTTTTTTGTAAAATTCATATACTACAGCGCCATATTTATATTGTGATGTGTCATTTTAATCTATAAAATTGCTACAAAATGAACAAGAGACCATTGGATTTTTTCACCTTTGTAAAGGGTTTTGGAATGTCACAATGTCCGCCGTGCTGTTCTATGCTTATTGAAGGAATTTTACGGACGATGAAGGAATACATTATGAGGAAACCTGCATGTATGAGGCATAAAGAATTTCGGGGACATGTGAAGTCCGCCAACTTGCATTTGTTAGATAAATGATCATTATGCAATACGAGTATTACTTAGCAATCTTCACAATTAATATGAATCCATTTCAAACTACCTACATTAATTATAAAGTTGAGTCACAATATAAAAGCGCCTACACTTAACGTTCCGCGGCAGTTGATTACGAACAGTGATGCTGAGAAAGTTATAACAGTCAAGTCTATTGTGAAATAAGGTGATTCTAAAGGTTGTGAGTAAAGTTAAATTAATATATAGTCTTCTTTATAAAAGTAAAGTATAGTGTGTTATAAAGTATTATATACAATTTAAGAGTGAAATTAAACAACGAACATAGTGATAATAGTCAACAAAGTGAGTTGTGGTTTTATTGGAGAAAAGCTGACACATTGGAGCGGCGCGGGGGACCAAGCTACATAGCCCTAGAAAGTAAGAGGAGGCCGATAGCCAGTTTCTTTACCTTTAGTTTAATTTACGCCATATAATATAGAACTACTGAAATAAATAACAAATAATTAGAACAATATATAATATAAATAGAATAAACTTAATTCTTTAGTTTATGATAATATTATAATAGTAGTAATGAATAAATCTATGTATAATTATTGTGACATTAAATGTACGAAACAACGTATGTGATAATAATTAACACGTGTTTTGTATTATGGCGCACGAAGTACCTACCTTTTAAAAAAATCGTTGACTTGTTTGGCCAACAGAGCGAGGAAGTGGTGCTGACGGACTTGGCGGTGGACCGCAACTACGAGATCAGCGTATGTGCGGTGAACTCGCAGGGCGCGGGGCCGGGTGGGACGCCAGCCGTGGTGTGGGTGGGCGAGGCTGTGCCTACGGCGGCGCCGCGTGACGTCACCGCCGAAGCGCTTTCGCCCACTGAAGTGGCACTCACCTGGAAGCCGCCCGCGCTCGCGCAGCAGAACGGCGACCTACTCGGATACAAAGTACGAAGTATTATAAGATTCTGGTTACAATTGCTCTTGTCTCTTGGTGTATTATGAGCTCCTGGTGGCTCTTGCTCACGTTCTTTTTTGTGTATGATCTTCTTGTCCTCAATGGTTATTCCTTGCTCAATCCTATTTTGTTATGAGTTCTTGGTAGCGCTTAATATCGATTCTCACTGTGTTAGTAAATAACCATAGGAAGTAAGTATGTACTGCGACTTAGCACCGTGCGCGAGCACAACTTATTTGTATTTATTTATTGTATTTAGAGAAACTGAAATCCGTGCATGATTTAAAATAAGAGTATGTATCTATAATATGACTGCCTCATTGGTCTGGTGGTTGTAGTAGTGCGACTGCTGATCATGAGGTCTTGGGTTCGAATCCAGAGTCAGACCAAAAAATCAATTATTGAGTTTTCAAAAAATTCTCAGTAGCTGCCCGGAGTCAGGAAGTTGACGGTGTCTCACCCCTGTGCCTCGGAAAGCCGTTGGACCTGTGCCTGATCTCTCTCCGGTCGTGTCGGTTTACCGTCCCATCGGATTATGAGAGTGAGGGATTAGAGAGTGCACCTGTGCTTGCGCATACACTTGGGCACTATAATCCTGTCCTGCGTCGATGGCTAGTCTCCGATGAGGCAGGCCGCCGTGGCAGAATTTCGGTCTGGAGGACATTATTATTATTATTATGTATCTATAATTAACTGGATAGGTTCTTGCCCTTGGGAACTTAGCGAAAGCGTCAGTTTGGCTTTTTGACTGAAAAGTTTGGAGAAAACCAGTCTTCTGGAGTATCTAATAAATAATTATAATGTTTTTAACATTTCAGATATTTTATTTAATGACTGACTCCCCGGAGGAGCCCGAGCCGGGACGGCGAGTGGAGGAAGAAATCGAAGTAGTCCCGGCCACCGCAACATCACACTCATTAGTTTTTCTTGACAAATATACGCAATATCGTATACAGGTATGAAATTTTTTATCGCGAATAAATAAAAAATATTGTCCGTTTAAGGATTGCATAATCGCAAATATATGATTTGCGATTATACAATCAAAAGAAAGCTTCCAAAAATATTAAAACTTGACACAAACCTATTAAAAATTGTATTTCTAAATTATGCGGCTTTCCAACAATTTTTGATGTAGTAGCAGAGAATGATTTTTGGTATAACAAATAAAATATTCATTTTAAGTAAAAATATCTATACTTATATTATTTATATTACACGCTGTATACACGCTAATCTCTGGAGCTACCAGTCTGATTTAAAAAAAATCCTTTTTTATATGATAGCCAGATCAGGATCCTATTCCTCATAATAGGATAGGCTATTTAGACCACACCTATCATCTAAACTTAAATATTGATTTTTATTAAGCAAGTCGTAAGAAATATATCAGCACACGGATAAAGCAGTTCGGGATATATCCCGAACTGCTTTATCCGTGTGCGCTGGCATAATGGTTAGTGATACGTAAATACAATGTTCTATAAAAATATTGATCTTTTTCTAACGTGGTAGAGCCATGCTGCAATTATTTTAGTAGTTTAGTTGTAGCACGAATGGGTTGGCTCGACCGGGGAAGGACCACGCTCTCACAGAATACCAGCGTGAAATAGTAGCTTAATGCTGCTGTGTTTCGTATAGTGAGTGTAGAGAACCGGAGACCCTTTTTACTGAAAACGAGGCGTTCCATCTTAGTCCTCACGGGTGACAACGCATCTGCATTTTGATTCGTAATGGAGGATAGATTTAGATGTCTATGGGCCACAGCCACCATTAACCATCACGTGGACCGTGTGCTCGTTTGTCACCCTATCCCCTAAAAAAATCTTTTCTCCATCTAAAAAAAAATTCGCGATACCAAATGCTTATTCCTTATACATAAGCCAAAAAAAGGTATTTTGTGACAAAAAATTATTGAAAATTAAAAAGTGATTTTTGAGCGTACTTACGAACGAAAGTTACTTCATCTTCAAGACCATTTTATGAGGATATACTTTGCTCTTTACGGCATGTTAATTGGACGCATAGTTTAAGAGATAATGAAAAATTAATATTATTCAACTAGTCGATAGCAAAACAATCGCTCGGCACGCGAACGACGCATAACCCTAGCCGCCCGATGAACCGAGAGAACTAGGCGTGAACGTCTCTTTAAGGCGATATCTCGAAAATTTGGTGGTTTTTCTGTTTAACATATATTTTTTTTAATTTTATAGATTACAAACCAAAATTGTGGTACATGATTTATGACTGTATGACCTTGGATTGCATAAGGAAAACACGATAATCTGTAATTTTCTCGATAGAAAAAAATTGCAAAGTAGGCTCTAATTATTTACATTTCTCGATGACACCACAATATTCTTACGAATAATTTTATGGAATTATTTTTAGGCATAGTAAATAATCATATCTAAGTTCTCATAAACCAGTTTTTTAATCCATAACGAAGTTTTGTTAAAATAAATAAAAATGTTGTTTGGCGCTTACTTAGTTTTTTTTCCGAGCGTGTGCTCTGTATGGCTATCTCATAATTTGCGTACTATGAAGTCATTACATCACTTTCGTTTTGACACTCCCTCAGACGTCCGTTAGCTTCACCGACAAAGGAATAAGCCACGCCCCATAACTTCGATTCATTTTCAAAGTATCCTCTTAAGCGAGTTTTCATGTCGCGCGGCTTAGTCGCATGATATACACGGGTGAAACCACAGCTAGAAATATAATAAAAGCTTAATTTTCGGCATTTGGCAAATGCTTGCAGATGCACCACAGTATAAACGGATAATTTTTCGTTAGAGTCTATGGCAAAGCAATGTTAACATTTATCACTGTTGATGAATATCAAAAAAAATATTTCAACTTGTGGAAAGCAATACTTCTGTACTTATATCGTACAGTGGGTACATTCAAAAATCTCTTGCGGGTTAAAGATTGGTAATAATCACCCCTCTTACCAGGCGGTTAAGCGAATGGATATCGATATAGATTTTTGGGTGTATCAAGTGTTCAACCTTTTTAAAAGGTATTTCAACGGCCTTACTTACCTCTCATTTAAGACTCTTGTGCTCTTGTGTGTGTGTGTGTTTAGATTTTCGAGTTGGACGCTGAGTTTTATTAGCTTATTACATATTTCGTCGCGATATTGTCGTAAGAATTGGAAATGAAAGTTATCAGAAAAATCTCAAAACTTCAGTCCCTTCGCACACTTAGGCTTGAGGCCTGAATATTAAGCTTTAACATAAAACTACACAATGCATGTGATATTGTGTAGTTTAAGACTAGACCATAGTAATAGGTACTATATTACATTAATTGTGCTATTGTGAAGTTTGAGTGTAAACTCAAGATTGTCTTTGAATACCGCTTTAGACGACATGCCACGTCATCGCTATTAATCATTTTGTATGTCTGATCGGGAACGCCTTTTTTCTTTCGCTGTCATTTCCCTTTTCTTTTCCATTTTTTTCAATTATATATTAAGTTTAATAATAATAATAATAACTCTTTTATTTCAGACATAGATCCATATAAGTTGTTAGTAATTGTGCACCTTAAATACTAATGTTAGTTTCTTAAATATGAGTAGTCACTTTTCAACAAATCGTTCCAATAATATAGCATATGCCCGTCACATCTTTCGGCGAACACGTTCATTATACTGTTGCGGCTGCCACGTATTCTGCTCAACAGCGAGTACACTCTTTTACGCATTATTGCGAAGAAGTCATCTGTTCGTGTTTCTGCAAACATCCCTGATGCGCTACAAAATCGAGGCAGCCCCAACAGGGCCCTGAAAATGTTATTATATAAAACACGAAGGTCACTGTAAGCGCGCTTTGTATACGTTGTCCATAAGCTGCATGCGTAAAAAGATTGACAACAGGTTTTGAAGAGTGTAATCTTAACTTCCTTGCTGCACTGCGCAAACCTACGAACAGTACTACAGACAGTGCCCTTCGCTCCCTTTCAATGTCCATATCATCTTTACAATTTTCAGTTATGTAGTGGCCTAGATATTTAAACTCTTTTACTCTTCCTAGGGCAGTGCCATTAAGCAAAATAGGAGGCACATTCTTTGGACACTTTTTTTCCAGCTCTAAATACCATATACTGACTTTTCTTAAAATTGTATACTAAACCATGTCTAACAGCATAATCCTCACAAACGCGTAACAATTTTCTAAGAGCACTAACAGACGGTGCCAGCAGCATATCATCGGCGTAACTTAAATTGTTTAAACAAACTCCATCTACATAGCATCCGATATACATGCTGCTCATTTCACCGATTAGGTCATTAATGTACAGGCTGAATAGGTTCGGTGAGCTTAAACCCCCTTGTCTCACCCCATATTCTAGTCTATACGGATCGGAAAACGTATCTGCCCATTTGAAATTATTTATTTGATTGTTGTACCAATACTCGAGCATGGCAACAAGTTCAGCAGGTATTCCGGTTTTCCTCAACTTACTCCACAATATTTCATAGGAAACCATATCGAAGGCTTTTGACAAGTCTAGAAAACAGGCATACACAGGTGTTTTTCTGTCCGTGTAGTACTCAACGATTCGCTTAAGGGCCAAGATTGAAAGCCCAGTCCGGAAACCAAATTGAGCATCGTGTAGCTGCAAATATTTTCTTAAATAAGTATCAAGTAGACCGTCCAGTACCTTTGCTAATATTGTAGCCAACGATATAGGTCTATAGTAGGTTATGTCCGATATGTCCCCAGTTTTATTTTTTAGAATTGGCACCACAATAGTCCTCATTATATTATTAGGTAGATATCTATGTCGTAGGCACAGTGAAAAGAACAAACCCAAAACCCTAGGAAGAAGGCCACCAGCATGTTGCAAAAGCTAAATGCTAAGATCATCATACCCAGGAGACCTCCCTCTTTTCATGTTCATAGTCACTGCACCCACCTGTTTAGCTGTGAAGTGAACCGGGTTTGTGTCGAAGGGGACTTCCGTGTAGGTTTTACCATCTAAAGGAGAGTCAACATTAAAATATTGCCTAAAATTTTCAACAATCTCTTTTTTGTCATTAGTGTTCCCAATACTCACAGGAGGACCAGGCCGTACGTTTAATTTATTTGTGGATTTCCAAAAATTTTTGAAGTCCTTATTACAATGTTGAGTAGCTATTATGTCCATTTTAATTTGTTCTTCCCGATTCTGGCACCATTTTAACTTAGATTTAAATTGACGTCTGCTCTCACACATACGATCATACACAATGCCCCCTTTAGGTTTGCCACATTGTAACCAATTATAAAATTGAATCCTGGACCCCTATGAGCATCTTTTACATATTTATTCCATCCGACTACAGATTTACCTTCTTCTGGCTGTAATGGCCTACCTTCATATGTCATAATTGCGGCCTCGCTTAAGGTATTTACTATAGCCTCATACATCTTATCTAAAGTCTCTTTGTGATCTATACATGTACACATACGATCACAACAATGGCAAAACTGTACCGGTAAATGCATATCTCTAAATTTCGAATTACAATATTCTTTATATTTGAGTATTTGATGTGGTTTTCTGTTGCCCCATATTATTTTACTATTCTTAACAATATTTTGAAGTATTTTGGAGCTCACAATTGCTAGGTCACAAGTAATACTTAAGGGGAAATGATCCGACCAATAAATACTGTGTAAAATTTCAACACTGCGCACAGTTTGGTAAGCGGCAGTAGTAGTCACACAGTGATCGAGCCATCTTCTACTACCGTGTGCATCACTTACATATGTAAAAGAGTCGGAGTACATACCGAGTTTGTCCATATCAGCGCACTGCCAACACTGATCCGTACAAAACTTTAATAATTCATCACCAAATAGCTCACCTGGGTGAGCATTGAAATCACCAACAATGTAAACTGTTTCTATCGCACAACTTTCAATGATAGCACTAATTCTACCTAAACACTCCGTGAACTCAATTATGTTTTCATTTTTATCCACTGGCATATAAATACTGAATACCAATATGGATCGGTCACCACTAACGGCCTTTATTGCACATACCCTAGGATTTTCACAGTCGATCACTGTCACTGAAGTAAACGCCACCTTACGCCACAAGATCGCAACACCCCTATACGGCCTGCCGCGACGACGACGACGACAAGCCAGCAGACGTATTAACTGCAGACGTTTAAAAGATGAATAAGTGTAAAATGATGTTTGATTTTACTATAAGAAATAAAAATGAACAGGTGTTGGCGTTTAATCCGGCGGGCGACGGACCCCGATCCAGTGCGCTTCAGGTGCGGACACACCAGGGCCTGCCGTCGGCGCCGCGCAACATCACGTTCTCCGACATCACCATGAACAGCCTCGTGGTGGCCTGGCTGCCGCCACACAGGCGCAACGGACTCATAACTTCGTACCTCGTCACCTACGAGACTATCGAGCAGGACGAGCGTAAATATCACTTTCTTATTGACTCATTGAGGGAAACAATGTTATATTTTTAATAGTGTTTAATAATATGTTATTTATGTGTATTAGGATATGTACAATATAAGGATAACATTGTAATTTGACTTGATTGATTTGACGACGTTGACTGCCTCGTTGGTCTAGTGGTTGTAGTAGTGCGACTGCTAATCATGAGGTCCTTGGTTCGAATCCTGGTTCGGGCCAAAAAATCAATTATTGAGTTTTTCTGTCAAGCAATTCTCAGTAGCTGCCCGGAGTCAGGCAGTTGGCGGTGTCTCAACCCCGTGCACGTAAAGCCGTTGGTCCTGCGTCTGATCTCTCTCTGTTCGTGTCGGTTTATCGTCCCATCGGATTATGAGAGTGAGGGAATAGAGAATGCACCTGTGCTTGCGCATACACTTGGACACTATAACCCTGTCCTGCGCCGTTGGCTAGCCTCTGTTGAGGCAGGCCGCCGTGGCCGAAATTCGGTTTGGAGGACATTATAACATTGTAATAATTAATTGAAAGCTTTATAAAATAAAATGTCAATTAATATGTTTTTTAAATGTCAATTAGCTAGAAGTTTCAAAATTTCCATCTATTTACAACTTATTAAATAATAGATATGAACACAAGTTCACTTTCAAATTTGCATTTTATGCTTTTGACCCTCTCCTGCTTTATAATCCTCAGAGAAAAAAAAAATAGTGTGTCCAGCTGTAGGCCGTGCCTTTTTTATAGACGTAATGGTAACAAACGAGCAAATAGTCCACTTGATGGTAATGCCGTTTCTGTTTTAAAAACGCTTAGTTTTCTTTTACGAGCCGTTTTGCAATGAATTGCATGAACACCCCTTTTTTAAAACAAAATACCAATCAACTATTTCGACTCAGATGAAGTAAAAAAAGGTAGATATCGAACATAGAATAAGAAACTGTCGCCAATTTTATATTTTTGTGTGAGTCAGAGAAGTTTTTAAATAAATCCCTAAAAATTGAGATAAAATGGTACATATCTACTCAAGCGTCCAAGCCGCGCGAGTGATTCTCGCCTCCACCTGTCCGCGTTTTAAATGTCTCTTTTTTTTAACGACCGCGCGAGCCCTCAACAAAACCTATATCTACAATTCAATAAAAATAATCACGAAAAGCTCATAAAGTAAGTATTTAATTTTGTTAAAATAAAATTGTTCAAATTATAAATAAAGGATGAAAATAAAGCTTAAACATGGGAGTATCAAAAAAATTATCGTATTAATTTTTTATTTCGAGTTTTACAAGAAAAGTATAATAGTTACTGGAGACAATTATTTTATATTATAATAGATCATGATATACTTACACTTTAAAATAACATCAATATCTCGATATCGATATATAGATAAATATATAATATTTACTCAATATAAATATTGACTACCCAACGCAATCATGAATTGCATGAATTGCATTTATATAATTCCGAGACACATCTCAACATATTTCTTTTATAAATGGCTATTTACGTGTTAATAGCGAAGCATTCTTTTATATTTAGCATTTATTAACAAAAGCAATCGACTAAAATACATTTTAAACAATGTATAATCAAGAAAAGATGATCGCGTCGTGATTAAAATTTCGAGCTAAATTATTTTAATGTGTAACTAGCTTGCCAGGCAGACGTTGTTCTGTCCTTTTCGACGACCCTTTGTCATGTCCTACTAAAAATCCTCAAATTCGCAAAAACAAAATTGTGGGTCACTCATGGGCAAAAAAACTATCCTATCTCTCAAGTTGGACCAAATTGCACACGGTGTGCAAATTTGATCAAAATCGGTTAAGTAGTTTAGGAGTCCATCGCGGACAAACAACGTGACACGTAATTTGTATATACTAGGATGTTTTGGGACTGTCGTAATGATACTCATTTCCAAAGTAAATATCTTCACAATCAATTTGTTGTACAACTACATTAGAAATATAACGTATAAAAACAGAAAACTTATGACATTTTTGATCAAGTTCCACACTAACATTCCACAAATAAGGATTGCGAACTGTTATTTTCAGATTTTTTTTTCTGAATATTTTGTTACCATTACACAAATAATATTAACTAACTTAATGGATGACATTTTTAAAAAGGCACCATCTCTTATTTTTTACTGTATTATTAACATCTGTCTTCAGCGATGTACACATTTAAACTGAATATTGTCATTTGGTGACTGTAGTCAGCATGGCTAGTTTATGCAAGAATTTTTGTGGGGACTACAGTCACCGTGGACGCTTGAGTGGTTATGTAATAAATTTTGAGTTTATTTAATACACAAAAGTTAGAAATAAAATAATTATCATAGGGGAATAATTGTGGACTTCATTGGGGCAGTTAAGTAAAAGAGAGGAAGCGCTTGGTTACATAATGGGTTGCATATATAATTTACATGGATAATTAAAATACTTAGATTTATTCTATTGTATGATAAGTAAATTATAATTATCTTATTTCTCGAGGGTCACAACGCATCTGCATTTTCATTCTTAATTGACGATAGATGATGTCAATGGGGTTCTGTTTAGCATTCATTTACCATCACGTGAATTGTATGTTCGTTTGTTACCCTTATTCTATCTATCCATATTTTGGTGTGACAAACGAGCACACAGTCCACTTATCATGGTAAGTGGATGCTGCGGCCCATAGACTGCAGATGCGTTGCCAGCCCTGAGGACAGAGATGGAATGCCTCGTTTCCAGCAAAAAGGGTCTCCGGTTCTCTACACTCACCATACGAAACACAGCAGCATTAAGCTGCTATTTTATGCTGGTATTCTGTGAGAGCGTGGTCCTACCCTGGTTGAGCCGACCCATTCGTGCTGCAACCACAATATAACTGCAAAATTAAATAAAAATAAAATAAAATAAAAATGCTATTGTTACATTGAACCTGTGATATTCTTAGTTTATTCAGAAAGATTAAAATATTAATATTTTATAGCTTCTGAAGTCGGAGCTTTAATTATGTTCACTGCGTTTTAGCATCGACTTCAGGAATCTATTACGTGGGAAGTATTTTTTTTTTATTTTTAGTTTATTGAAATCGCCTTTTACTTATATTTTTAATTGGTATTGTTATTTGGCCAGTTATAAAATCCCTTAGTATTGTGGTAGTATCGTGTGACGTGTGATCCCATGCAAAACCGAGGTAAAAATATCGTAATATAATATTAATTATTTTTTATATTATTTGTATGATACTGTATTGTTTACTTTAACAACTTTAGTTCTGCTGGGCATTTATGAAGAGTGTATTAAAGTGATCGTTCCCGTGGAACAGGGTACAGCAAGCAAGTGAAGCAGAAGGTGACTGAGCAGCGGCTGGCGGTGGGCGGCCTGGAGGAGGAGGTGGAGTACCGGTTCTGGGTGCGCGCGGTGACGCTGGGGCCGGGCGCGGCGGGCGAGGCGCGCGCGCGCACGGGCCCGCAGCCCGGTTCGCCCGCGCCGCCGCGCGCGCTGCGCCTGCGCAGCGACCCCGCCGCGCTGCACCTGCGCTGGGACAACGCCGCCTCCGGCCGCGGCCCGCTACTCGGATACTACATCGAGGCCAGGAAGAAAGGTCATCCTCCACACTTTTTTTAACCGTTATCGTTATAGCCTATCATTGTCCACTACCGTATAGTAGCGGTGTAAGAATATCCACTACCCCATTACGTCCTGAGGGTGGCGGAAGAGACAACAGAGCCACAGTATATAAATAAGTACAGTATGGATACTAAGCCTAGTTGGGTACATAATTACCTACGCTCCGTTGAAGCAATAGGGTTGTGACTTTTAATGTTTATGATATATATTTTTTTTTAGTTCTGTAGTGATCAATCAATGGAATTTAAATAATTACCTTACTAATACAATTTAAATAGGTAATCTCATGGCGTCTGTTAATCTCAGTAAAATACAATAGTTTAAACATGAAAAATAATTTAATATTAACATACAACTTGTAGAACTATAGATCTTTAATTTTGTCATTACGGCATAACCTTTTACAAGCTTTGGCTGGAGCGTACGCGAGCGCGGTTGGACGAAAATAGCGCAATGGCGCGCGGGCAGAGTTCATGAGCGGCTGCGAACCGTACTGACCGTACAGAAACAATTTTTTTTAAATTCAATATGGATTGTAAATAATACTTACTAAAAGTCACTTTATTTTTCATTTACCACTGGTTCGCAATAAAAACCTCTGTCCTGGGAAGAACTAGCAAGAAATATTTTGTAAAAAAATACCCTCCTATTTTATTTACAATTATACAGCATTATCGACGTCGACATCTTCAAAAATCATTAAAATAACACCCAGGACGAAAATATTGATACCTTTGAAGCCGTCATCTTGGATTTACATTCCGACATCACTATCGGATTTCACACGCTCACAAACTATGAAAATGACACCCATGACGGAAACATTGATACCTATTGCAGCCGGATCTCTTGGATGTACATTTCGACAGGACTATCGGCTTCAACACACTCAGAAACCATGAAAATTACACCCATGACGAAAAAATTGATACATACTGCCGCCGCCATCTTGGATTCACGTTTTGACAGCACTATTGACTTAAACACCCTTGAAAATCATGAAAACAACACCCATGATGAAAAATTGATACATTTTGCTGCCGCCATTTTGGATTCACGTTTTAATAGTGTTATCGGCTCCAACACCCCCGAAAGCCATGAAAATGACACCCATGACGAAAAAACGCGAACGAGGGCAGTTGAAGATAAAACATCGTTTAAATTTTGTGGCTATTTAAAATTCTAAATATCTGTTTATAGTGCGAAACATTGCGACTAGTACATACGTGTGTGAACCTTATATGACGGTGATTGTGTCTGTGTAATTACTACAATAAAACATCAAGAAATTGTGGAGTAAGAAGCATTTTAATATTTATAAAATCTTATATCTTCAATCTCCCGGACCTACCCCAACTCGCAATTCACTCGCTGTGATGTAGTACGGCAATATTTACTTGCTAATCTTTTAGCGCCTGGATAAAATAATTAGCACATACTAGTTAACAAACTTTTTCTAGAAAATTTTAAAAGTTGTTTTTAGAGTATTCTATTGCGCCTAAAATGGATAAACAATTCTGTGGAGCTTGCAGAGCATTAGTATCTGATAAAAGATACATGACCTGCCTTGGTTGTAAACAGAAGTATGACCTTCAATGCGCTAATATCTCACCACAGCGGTATAGAGCGTTAAATAATGAGAATAAGCGTAATTGGAGATGCCTGGAATGTAAAAGTAAAATACCTAAGAAGGATAACACAAACACACCTATACGCCCATCGCACCCGACAGAGTCGGCAGTTCTCGATAACGCAGATAACTTGAATGTAACGTTGCGTAAAAATCTGATTTAACATTTGACTACATAACGGAAAAAAAGTTGAAGTATGTCTTGGAGGCTGAAAGACAAGAATTAAGAATTGTTATTCAATCAAGCCTGAAGGAATTATCAGATCAGTTAACCACAATAAAAAACCAGTGTTCCGGATATCAGGAGTCTTCAATGTTTATTAGTGGGCAATATGAGGATTTTCGCAAAGAGCTCGTAGAACTAAAAAAGTTGCTTGCAACGACCACTGCTGAATTGAAATGTATAAGAGAAGAAAATAAAAGTCTAAAAAATAGTGTTACTGCACAAGCAGCAAGGATTAAAGCATTGGAAGACGAAAACTTGAGACAACAACAGTGGACACGAATGCAGAATATAGAGATAACAGGGATTCCTGAGAATAAGGCCGAAGATACTAAACAAATAGTATTGAAACTCTCGCAGCATATTGGGGCTCCTATTCAGCAGACTGATATCGAGATAAGACAACGTGCCGTCAAAGACAAACTTATAGCAGCGGGTCGCAAGTATCGTACTCTGAATGCTAAGGATTTGAGAATGGGTGATGAGACTAACAGAGTTTATATCAATGAGCACCTTACAAAAGAAAATAAAATTCTTTTAAATACATGCAAACAAAAAGCCAAGGTAATGTCCAAACGCCATATTCTGGCGTCTCAAATAATATGCACATCTGTCAAACGCCATAATATGGCGTCGAGTGATAGCAAACTATTTGTAACATATATATCTGCATGATTGATTTTGTCTAAATTTGATTTAATAATGTGTTTTTTTGTGAACCTCCTTATTTTTTGTCCCGATGTCGAGTAGAGCTAAGTGAGGCCTTTCTCGACCTTGTCGTAAACAAAAAAATTATGAAAAAAAAATAAACTTACAAGTAAAACAAATAGTACTTGGAATAAAGGCTTTAATTTGTAATTATTACACCTTTGCAGAAAATTGGGGAAAAAACACTTTTCTTACTTTCATTTTCAAGTTATACATAATCTGATAGCTTATTTAATAAAGTTTCCATTGATATATGATTTTAATATACCTTTTATACAAAATGTCTTAGAAATAGTCATTTTAATGAACAGCAGGAAGTAGTCTGGAGATACTTCGGGAAGTGCTCGACAGATGAGCCATATTGGCCAAAATGACCCCGACATACGAGTGGATACTTGAAAAACGTAAAGAAATATTAACAGTCCATGCTAAAAAAAAGCTATATTTAGCTAAACTGATTTTTCATTTAAAAATCCTCCTTTGCATTCTATGACGTTTTTTACAAATCTCGGCATACGGGCAATCAATTTGTTGATAGTGTCTTGTGATATATTGCTCCAAATTTCGCAAAAAGCATTCCACATTTCTTCTCGCGAGGATGGACCACAACTACGGACGCTCCTATCAAGCACTTTCCACAAAAGTTCAATGGGATTGAGATCCGGACTCTGAGGAGGATAAACCTCGTTTTTAACACCCCTTGTGCCTCTTTCTCTTCCAAATATCCTCTGCATAATTTTGAGCTATGCTTAGGATCATTGTCCTGTTGGAAAAGGAATCCAGCTTGGAGATGGATAATTGCAAACCCCGAAGGAACGGCATTTTGTTCTAAAATTTTTTGTACTCTTCCTTTTTCTGTCAATTTTGATCAAATCGCCAGTTCCTTGCCTAGAAAAGCAAGCCCAGACCATAATTGAGCCACCACCATACTTGATTGTTGGGACCACAGTCTGGCATCATCTTGGTCACTACGTCGAACGTAAATTCTTCGTTTCGAACCGAATAGCTTAAACTTGGATTCATCGGTCCAAAGAATTTTTTTAAAATCTTCTTCAGTCCAATCTCTATTGACAAGGGCCCATTGCATCCGGTTTTTCTTATTTTGTGGCTTTAGCAGAGGTTTTCGAACGGCGACAGGACCACACAATTTCGCATTTCTCAGTCGTCGTTTTACTGTAGTTAATGATAAAGGTTTAACTCGGGTTTTGTTTACTTCAACACGGATTTCCGGTGCTGTTAAGCGTCTAGCTTTTGCCATTTTAAGACGTCTTCATTGTAGAAACCACAAAAGTCGGAAACACGTGTTTTTAGAAGCTAAATAGTTCTAATTATTGACCAATGGGAAACAAAAGCAAAGCAATTAGTTATAAGCCCATCATAAAAATGTTATTGCGACTCTACCACCTGGCTCTAACGCAGCGTTTGTCGGTGTTTGAAAACAATACATGGTTATAGTCCAATAACTTGAAAGTTAATAAAAGAATGACTTCTTTACATATTCGATTTTAACAGTAGAATGTGCAGGTGTACATTTCTTTTATTTATCTCATGGGATTTCATTACAATTTATAGATAATTATGTTTTTTATGTGTGGTCTTAAATTTTTGGCCGGCAGTGTAGTTTCCGTACTGGACTTTTATAGGTTATAATGGAATGGATGGCTGAACACAGACCTCCCATAGATTACCTTATTACTTATTATTATATCATAGGTGCGATATTTTCCATTGTTGCCGCGATTTGCAAACAGGTTACAATCTGTAATTTTTTATTTTTAGTTATTAGGAAAATGCTGCTGCTCATCTCCTGATTTGTAGTGGGCTAGTGGATATTCTTACATCGCTCCTACACGACCATTTTTAGGGTTCCGTAGTCAAATAGGAACCCTTATAGTTTCGCCATGTCTGTCTGTCCGTCTGTCCGTCCTCGCTTAATCTCTGTGACCGTTAGCACTAGAAAGCTGAAATTTGGTACCAATATGTGTATCAATCACGCCGACAAAGTGGTAAAATAAAAATTGGAAAAAAATGTTTTATTAGGGTAGCCCCCCTATATGTAAAGTGGGAAGTGATTTTTTTTTTTAATTTCAATCCTAACGTGTGATATATTGTTCGAAAGGTATTTAAAAATGAATGGGAATGAAAGGGGTTTACTAAAATCATTTTTTGATAATGTCAATAACTTCGGAAATAATCGCTCCAAAAGTAAAAAACAATGTATGTCCCCCCCCCCCCTCTAACTTTTGAACCATAAGTTTAGAAAATATGAAAAAAAATCTGAAAAGTAGAACTTTATAAGGACTTTCTAGGAAAATCATTTTGAACTTTGATGGAAACACCCACCCACTACCGGGAGCAGTTACAGGAGCGCGGAGCGCGAACATAATGAATACCCACCTTTAAACTCATAAGTGGGAACACTTATTGTGACGGACGGAAACCTACGGAACCCTACACTGAGCGTGGCCCGACACGCTCTTGGCCGGTTTTATTACTATACTGTAATTCACATCTTATGCTTTCGAAGCAATTTTTCACATTTTTCGAGTATCAAAATACATTGTCAAATACTAACTATTTAATATACATATATTTTAAAAATGCTATAAATTAAAAAGAACACAAATAAACCATATTAAAGATTTAAACTAGTACAACAACCAATGAATAATACCCTGTTTAATTTTTAATAGTTCATCAACAGGATCGAAGTACCGATCGCGCCCAATAACATGTTTCCTTTTTTGTTTTACTTTTCTAGTTTAAATAAATAGTTCATATGCAGTAAGTACTTTTATGCTAGAGCATAAAACAGTAAACATAGAACTTATACAAACTGCATCGCCGACATGCTATTCGTATCGACATGAAAAAATTATTGTCGGTAATCTCAATATCCGATCCACATGTAAATTTTTTATTTTACTGAAAGGACTTCGGTATGTTTGAAAAAAAAAACACAAATCAAACTAATACGCTGTGTTTTAACAGATGTTTCCAAAACGCTGATTTTGCTTAGTTTCATATAGTGAGTGGAGACTCTTTTCACTAGAAAAGAGGAATTCCATCTCAGTCCTCAGTGGTGACAACGCATCTGCATTCTGGTTTTCGAAGATAGAAATGTAGACGACGACTGTAGACGTGAGCTACAACATCCTTCTACCATCAGTTGGACTGTGTGCTTGTTTGTTACCAATAATTTATATTAAAAAAATCTATCAAAAAAGCATTATTATAAAGGTAGTAGTAGTCCCTATGGCAGAATCGCTGGAGGACTTAAGCACTATGCTCAATGACCTCAATAGTGCCTCCCAACGGATAGGTCTTAAGATGAACATGGACAAAACAAAGATCATGTTTAATGTCCATGTCACACCTATGCCGGTAGTTGTTGGGAGCACTAAGCTCGAAGTTGTTGACGAGTACGTTTACCTGGGACAAATAGTCCAAACTAGGTAAGTCCAACTTCGACCGAGAGGTCAATCGACTGATTCAACTCGGCTGGGCAGCGTTCGGGAAATTACGAGACATCTTCTCGTCAGGTATACCTCAAAACCTGAAAACTAAGTTGTACAACCAGTGCGTGTTGCCATTGATGACATATGGAACTGAGACGTGGTCCTTCACTCCTGGCCGTATGAGGACGCTCAAAGTCGCTCAGCGAGCTATGGAGAGGGCTATGCTCGGAGTTTCTCTGCGTGATAAACTTAGAAATGAGGATATCCGCAGTAGAACCAGAGTGACCGACATAGCTCAACGGATTAGTAAGCTGAAGTGGCAATGGGCCGGCCATATAGTTCGAAGAACCGACGACCGTTGGGGAAAAAGGTTCTCGAGGGGCAGCCTCGTACCGGTAAGCGAAATGTAGGGTGACCCCCCACTAGATGGAGTGAGGACCTGGTAAGACATACAGGAAGTCGATGGATGCAGGTGGCTCAGGACCGTGCTTTGTGGCATACCTTGGGGGAGGCCTATGTTCAGCAGTGGACTTGTGAAGGGCTGAAATGATGATGATGATGAGAAAATTCATCAAGGATCGTTTCGAACCTCCACACTTTTCATGTACCGTGTACAGTTGTCTTTAAAACCGGTATTTCTTTAAAAACAGTCGGATTGTCTTTAAAAACAGTATTATCTTATTGTAAGAATCTTTTTAAAATATTATAGCTTTATGTATGTATAAATGTATTAATGTATTTTATTTTTATGCAGCAAAGGAAACCTGGCAAGCGTGTAAGTTTTGTTTCTACCCCTACCAGAATAACACGCATTCCTCTAAAATTATTCGTAGATCCCACACTGTACCTACTGCTTATCTTGTTTTTTATATATGTTCAGATTGTAAAAACGCGATATCATTATTTATTACGAGTACTAAATTAATTTTCTAATATAAATAAATAATGTATGTGTATAAGTGCACACCTTATGATCATTTATTAATCATATAATCTTCGTAACTGGCCTGCTGGAAGAAATTTCATTATGAGATAAGTAGAGCCCTTGTACAAACTTTTCATCATGATGTGTCCTCCCTTCTTGTGTGTACATAAATTGTTAATTAATTAAATAAATAATGTACAAAGTATAAACTATATTTTATATGTATGGTTGGTTGCTTTATTTTTATTATAAAAACAATATAAACACCTGTAATGCATCTATCACATTTTATCCAGGGAAGCCTAATCTCATCGAGTCCGACCCTTGTAAACTTTGTATATAGGTTAGGGCAACAAAGTATAAATAAATAAATAACCTCCATATTAAGAATTAAAGACATATATAATGTATAGTGTTCATACTGCTTTATTGTTTTGTACCGTCGATAGTAACAACAATTCTTAATTTAAAATTAGATTATTTTTTATAGATGACACAAGATGGGAGACGATAACAAGGACCAGCAATGGAATGCTAGAAGAATTCACAATATCATACCAAAGTCTGCTGCCCTCGACTGCTTACTCCTTTAGAGTAATCGCATACAATATGTACGGGATAAGTAACCCAACGTACAGCGACAAAGTGATCGTGACCCCTTCGAAGTTATACCTGGAGTACGGCTACTTGCAGTACCGACCGTTCTACAGACGAACTTGGTTCATGGTGGCGCTGGCGGCGGCCTCCATCATCATTATCATAATGGTTATCGCTATACTTTGCGTGAAGAGCAAGAGCTACAAATATAAAAGTAAGAATACTTTGCTTATTCGTATAACAGGTATTTGTGAAACGCTCGCGAAAACGAAGACAGACGATAGTACTATGTAGCTTTGATGATGAGACCAATAAAAGAGAGAAGAAAAAAGACAGAATAAAAGAGTTCAACATCCTAGCTGTGTTTAATTTTCACTGCTGGTTTTATTTATCAGTATTTTCATGAAATTTTTTATGACATTAAAATTTTTTTATGAAAATACTGTATATTTAACTTAAATATATATTTAGCTTTACTAATATGATGGATCTATTTTCTTTTGGTCCCAAGTCCAAAGGTATCGTTGGTACTATCGTCTGTCTTCGATTTCGGGAGCGTTTCAAAAATAGCCTGATATTAACTTATAATTGGCTGTGCCTGAGACATAAAAACGGTTTCATCCATCGATCCATCCATCTATTACAGGCCACAGTGCTGTACATAGGCTGCCCCATAGTATATCATAGGGAGGGATCCTTATGAGACAGTAAATCTGTAATTTGCCATAGTTACCACGCTTGACCACTTGCTGCTGCTGCCCACCTTCTATTCTAATTTGCCTCTGTCGCCTCTTACGACGTCCACAGGTCGATATGACTATACACCGCCACTGATCAGTTCCATAGCCTATAAAACTATTGTTTTAATAGTTCTGGAGAAAAGTTTGTTAGGTAATTTAAACGATTTTGATCGCGGAGAAGTTTTTGGCGAAAAACCAAAAAGTTTTTTGTGCGTTCATGGGCTTGGAAAAGGCTTATGACAGAGTGGACAGGGATGTGTTATGGCAAACGCTGAACGCATTTAGGTTGAGCGCTGGTTTAATACAGGCATTAAAGTCTCTGTATAGGGACTCGAGTGCTTGTGTTGGAATCAACGGGGGTCTACTCGGACTGGTTTGGCATCCATAAAGGTGTCAGACAGGGCTGTGTAGCTTCCCCGTGGCTGTTCAACCTATTTATGGACAGTTGTTTGGACAATTTGAAAGTTGAAGAATGCGGGTTAAGAATGGGTGAGTTAACCATCAAATGCCTTTTGTACGCCGATGATCAAGTCATACTTGCGTCGTCGGCGGCCGAGTTGCAAATGATGGTTACATTAATGAACAGGTCATTGAAAGAAAGGGGAATGAAAGTGAACGCAAGTAAGACGAAATTGATGGTTTTTGAAATAGAAGAAAGGAAAACGGTATGTGAAATAAGAATAGAAGGAGAGTTAATTGAGCAAGTGGATGGGTTTGTATATTTGGGATGTGTAATCAGCAGGGATGGCAGATATGATAAGGATATTGAACGACGAATGAATGCAGGAAATAAAGTAAATGGGGCTCTACACTCTATTGTGAAAAGTCAGAATGTGTCAAAAAAGGCATGTATGGCAATTCACAATGCTGTATTAGTCCCTACTTTAACTATAAGGTAGTGAAAGTTGGGTGTGGCAGAAGAAGCACGAGAGTAGAATAAATGCAGTAGAAATGCGGTCGCTAAGGAGTATGTTAGGGCTGAATCTGAGTGGACAGGGTGAGAAACTGTGTGATAAAAGAAGAGTGTGGTGTGAAAGATGATACAGTGACCAGGATTAAGAAAGGAATGCTTCGGTGGGTTGGTCATGTAGAAAGAATAAAAGTAGAAAAAACTGACAAAGCAAATATATGTTGCAGAAGTGAATGGAAGAGTCGAAAAGGGACGTCCTAGGCGGAAGTTTGTCGACCAAATTGGGGATATACTAAAAATGGGCCAAATTAAGAGTACCTTTAACCGACGAGCATGTATGCGTGTATGTATATGGATGTGGAAGAGGCGAGACAGGTATATCAGGATCGTGCTAAATGGAAGTCTGTAGTCTCTGCCTACCCCTCTGGGTGACAGGCGTGAGTGTTTATGTTTTATGTTGTAATTTAAACCTTACGGTAATAATCGTCGCAATTGCAATAACTTCGTTTATACTTTTTTTTATTTAAATGTGATGGCATTTTTCGGTCTATTCCCAATGAGGCGAAGTTCCGAAGAAGGTATCAACTGCATATACCATTTTTAAATACCTTCATAAATATACTTATACCCTATGTTACACATAAATTATACTATAATAACTAATCAGCGTTTGTCAGTTGCACAAATATATACAATATGTAACGTAATTAACGCACACCCTCAGACACTCCAATTAGTATATTATGTTATAATCATAATACATACACTGAATTTTTAGTTAAACATTTATAGGCACTGATTATTTATCAAATTAGTTATACTAATTCCGGAAGAATGTTGTGGTCACAGTACAAATCCACGAACGCAAAGACGTTTAACGTGCTTGAAATAAAGTTCATTTTTCTTTATTTTTATCGAATGACAGAATTAGTAATAATACAAATAAAACCGCACTCTTAAAAGTCTTATTGCCTTAAGTTACGGTCCATTTCAGTTTGGTTTGACTGTACAGATTTAGTGTGACTGTAATTTGCGTAGTTTTATTTTTTGGATAAAAAATTACCTATATTAAAATGATAGGAATCGATTCAGTAAACGATTCTGAACAAACTACTTTCTCAAAGTGAGTTGATTATGTTACGTGTTGTATATAGACGTGGACTTTTTCGTAAATTCGAAAACGTCCACGTCTCATTAACTATAGTCGATTCTTGCCACACCAGGAAACGAGATGGAGTGATTGGTTCTTTTACGCTTCAAACACACGGCTGGAAGTTACGCAATTGTTAACATAATACCTGCTTCTAAGTCTACTCCCGAATAATTCCATTTAAAGATTGCTGCAACTGACATGCAATCCTAAAGATTAAGAGAAGATTGCCCTTATTCACTACGCCGGTCAAGCGGGTTGATGAGCCGTTACTCGCTAAAGACGCTACTCCTCATCGCCAGATTATTTGGGTTCGGTATTTTGAATGAAGATACCGCTTTTAATAGGTAACCAGAGCCTTGTTCGTTAAGTGCACTGCATATAGGTTGGTAGTATAGTGGCACCTGGCAAAAAGTTCGTTACTTCCTCCTTGCACCACTCTGTGACAACACATGTAAACAATAATTTGTCAGAAGAAGCGCAAAAGACGCTGGAGGAGTCGCTGGCTGGCGAGACAGACGAGCGCGGGTCGCTGGCGATGGAGCTGTACCGGTCGCGGCAGAACTCTGCGGGCAGTGCGGGCGGCGTGGGCGTGGGTGGCGCGGGTGTGGGCGTGGGCGCGGGCACGCTGCGGCGCGGCAAGGCGGGCGGCGGCGTGGGTACGCTGGGCAAGCCCCCGCCGCGCCCCTCGCCCGCCTCCGTCGCTTACCACAGCGACGAGGAGAGCCTGCGCGCCTACGACGAGAATCCCGACGACTCCTCCCTCACCGAGAAGCCCTCCGAGATCAGCTCCTCGGATTCGCAGGTGATCACTATAAAAATTAGTGTCGTCTAAGCGCCCACCGTACCGGTCACACTAAATTCTTATATATTTTTTTCCACTCCCACCCCCGAGGAGCTCCCGACGGTAAATATCAACGATTGATCGCTAATGTCAGATTTTAATTTGTACGTCACGCTTTCATGCCCGATTAGCACTTCAAAGTAGGTGACGCATTTCGATTATCGCTGGGACACAGTTCCCGTACACGATATTGTAAATATTTGTAGGTAAACGTATTTTATTCTTCGTAAAGTACCTTTGCTACATATGATTTTATTATTTGTTATGAATTACAAGCTAAAATTATCTTTTGAAATTAATAAAAGGTCTAGTAAAAAATGATAAATCTCCTTAAACCTCACCACAACTTCATTAGGCTCACCATACTTAAATCATTAGTAATATAAAATCACATAAAGCGTGAAAATAGCAAACTCACAAATTATGAGTGACTTTCAGCAATGTTTAAAACGTAAATAGACAATATTTCTGAAAAGTCGGTCATGATTGCTGATTAGTACCGATTTAATGCATGTGTATTATACAAAATACGTTCAACTATAGCAAACGTCACGAATGTTGAGCGTTCAATACTTTTGGTGTAACTTATTTGTGCAGATTACATTTTCTCAGTCGTTATACGATTGTGAACGTCAAATTGCACGGTGCTTACACAACACTGCTTAATAAGCGAACAAACCGATCTTCATTAAATAGACGCAAAATGTTAATACCCAAGAGAAGTACACAGCGCTCATAATCCGTGTCGCTTACTATATACTTTAAGTAAAAACATTGAGCTATTATGTACGACGTACTAGAACACTGCATTCAGCTACTCTGTTCCACTCAACTGCGGTGCATACACCGCACTTAAATCAGTCACTTGCTAGGCGCTTGTAGAGTTGTCACGTGTTGTGTTGATTTAAAAAAATCTCTTGATAAAAATATGCCGTCGTGTGTACTTAGATATTGCACAAATAATTCAAGAAATGTCAGTAAAAACCAAGGTATTACTTTTCATCGGTTAATAAGATACTTAGTCAATAAATAAATATATAATAATGAAACAAATTATTCCTAAGACGCCATCTTGTGCCATGTAATATAGATTATGAAATAAATTTGTTCAGATGCGACATTTCTGTGGGTACTTAAGTATAGAATGAATATATTATTATACACATTTTTTTTTGTAGAAACATATATGAGTTATCATAATTAGGCCAATTTTTTATATTTAAATCTGCTCATTATTCTTTTATATTATTTTTAGGTTTCCACATCAAATTCAAAGTAGAATAAATTCGTCCATTGTTTACTCTCGCGTGCCCAGCATTTATGAACGACGCTTATTCTAATTTAAATAAATATGTTTGTAATTTAAATCTTATATTAATAAGTTTTGTTAAACATACATTTAGTATATTTTTTATATTTGACATAGATGTCTACCTTTATGTGATATCTTTTAAAATATTCAGATAAAAATATCATTAAAATGTAATTGTGATATAATATTAAGTAATATTATATTAAAGAAGCAAATATCATATACGAAATAAATGATAAAATTTGAAAATTGTTCTCGATATAGTTTACCTATTTAACAATACAATCTATTATTACCTACGGATCATTCTACCTATGTTTATTCTATGATAAAAATACCAACCGCGCGAACACAGAGTAGCGCACATGTTTTGTTTGAAATAGCTGTTCTAGTACGTAAGTACATATTACTTCAATGAGTAAAAATGTTGATTTTGTTGACGTATCACTGTTGTATGTAATGAGAGAAATCTATTGGTGGTGTTTAGAATTCGGAGAGCGAAAACGAGAGCGTGCGATCGGAGCCGCACTCGTTCGTGAACCACTACGCGAACGTGAACGACACGCTGCGGCAGTCGTGGAAGAGGCAGCGGCCCGTGCGCAACTACTCCAGCTACACGGACTCGGAGCCCGAGGGCAGCGGCGTGGTGAGCCTCAACGGCGGCCACATCGTCATGAACAACATGGCGCGCTCGCGGGCGCCGCTGCCCGGCTTCTCCTCCTTCGTATGACACGAGCCCGCCGCGCACATGCAGCCCTACACGTAGCCTTGCCACGCTGCCACGCTGCCACTGCTGCTGCCGCCTTATGTAATATTGCCCTAAAACATTTTCAGTCTCATTAATAACGTAGTTTCATTGATAAAGTCTCACGTTTAAACCATGCTTAGCCGTGGCGACAGTCTTCGAGAAATTTGTTGTTTACTATCAAGTTCCATACTTTACAATTTAGTACGCATCGGATTCGATCCGTTTTCACATGATTTATTGATAGTCGATTGTCGAAAATTGATTGATTGTCGAAGAAACTAAAATGTGATAATCGGGGAAGTTTTCGTAACGTAAGCAGTCCCTTAGCGGCGAGCCGTAGCCATATCAATCACACAAGTAATAACACTTGTATTTTTTTGAGTAATAGCAAATTGTTAAGGGATGCAAATGGCTCTAAAATTTTTTTAAGATAAATCGTTAAAACAATTTATCTTATTTTATCAATACATTTCTTCTAATAAAAGTTGGAAATCCCACCTATCTTACGCTGCCCATTCCATTATTAAACTATAAATATTTTGCGTGTATATAATACATTCTATATGTAATTACGATTTCAATGATTTTTATTAGACGCTTCGATAGAAAGGATTATATTATAGTTGTTTCTAGTTTCTACAATTTAAATCTTACGAGTTGTATCTTTAAGTAAATAAAATTTTAAGCTTATGGTGTTTTAAGAGAATTCCAGACTAGATTAGACTATGTATCATACTCTTATCTTATTTCGACCATTGATAGATCTACTGTAGCCAGTATTTATACGAGGGGTGATCCAAAAGTAATGATAATGAAAATAAAACACGGTAATTAAAGTTAAAATAATAATTTATTTTTATACATAGTCTCCTAACAAATCAATACATTTAGTCCATCTTTTTTCTAAACCCAGGATTCCCTTTGAAAAAAATTCTTTGTCTTGACCCTCCCAAAACGCTTTAACAGCGGCCATTACTTCGCTATCGTCTTCGAATTTCTTGCCTCGGAGGCGTTCCTTGAGCCGAGGAAAGAGGTAGAAGTCACTAGGAGCTGGATCTAGCGAATGGGGAGGGTGTTCGAGCAGTTCGAATCCCGTTTCTTGAATGGCAGCCATCGCAACTGCGGCTTTGTGAGCCGGTGCGTTGTCTTGGTGAAACAGCACTCCAGCTCGCAGTTTGCCGCGTCTTTTTTTCCTTAATGGCCTCCCGTAATCTTCTTATTTGGTCTGCGTAGTAAGAGCCCTTAATAGTGGCTCCCTTTTCCAAATATTCCACTATAATTATGCCTTGAGCGTCCCAAAAAACAGATGCCATAACCTTTCCCGCCGAACTTGAAACTTTGAATTTCTTTGGCATCGGTGAGGAGGCTCGCTTCTAAGTCATCGATTGTTGTTTCGTTTCAGGATCAAAATGGTGGATCCAGGTCTCGTCCATAGTCACAAAACGGAACAAAAATTTTTCTTGATCTGCTTGGAACTTTTCGAGATTGACCCTCGAAATGTCAACTCTATTTTTCTTTTGCTCGTCGGTTAACATTCTGGGTACCCAACGCGCAGAGACCTTTTTCATATGCAACTCGTTCGCAAGGATTCTTTGAACGCTGCCATATGAGATCCCTGTGACCTCAGCTACATGCCTGATGGTCACTCTTCGATCTGCCAACACAACATCTTCGACTTTTTTTACGTTGTCTTCAGTGAGGGACGTGGATGGGCGTCCTTCGCGATGTTCATCTTCAGTGGATGTTCTGCCCATTTTAAACTCCTTGGCCCAGCGTGCAACTGTAGAATATGGAAGAGCAGAGTCCCCCAATTTTTCCACTAAGTCACTGTGTATGTCTTTTGAAGACATTTTTTTCAAACAGAGGTACTTGATGACAGCTCTAATTTCGTTTTTCTCCATGTTGATGTTATCTCTTTGACAGTTTGTATTCAAATGAATGTATCTCCCGGAAATCGTGATCTATTTATATGATTTTTTTAGGCTGACGTAGTGAGTATATAAGCAAGCAAAAAAAATTTTTTTTTGGATTTTTATGCGGACCTGAAGTAACCGATTATCATTACTTTTGGATCACCCCTCGTAACACGTAGATGCCTACCTATCATAAATTTTTAATACATATGCGTAAAACCTTGAAAAGGTAAAGAAAATGATTAAATGTTTATGTAAAATTATTGATAAAACCCGTTCAGTTTTTTTATGTATCACTATTTACATAATCGCAGGTTCGCGCTCTTAAATGTTAAAACCTAGATGGAATAAGCATAGAAACACAAATTATCTAATGATTTAAAAATAAACTGCCTTAAAAATATAATACATGTTACGTTTGTGATCTCGTTAACATAATTTAAAACAAAATGTTTAATAAGTGTTTAAATGTATAAAAAAACTGTAAATATAAATAAATACCTACTGACGACCTAAACGTGAAAAAGGTTGGATAACTCGATTAATTAAAAAATTACAAAATCAATTTTTATACGGGTGGCGATGATGATACCCTCAATAAATAGATGGAGGAAGTTATGCTTACATAAAAATTATAAAGATGGTAACAAAACGACGTCGCTGAAAAAAACCATGTACCAGTACATCACTGGGTATAGTCGCAATGTAGCCGCTCTTAAGAGTATATTACATAGTGTTTACAGTGGTATGATATTTACTTTGATAGAAAGTAGCTTTTTTTACTCTAACATAACCAAAAAAATCAATTTATAGTTTTTAATATTTTAAATTATATAGTTATGGAACTATTAACGATCAAGCTTTTAATAATTATGGGATCATTTTCGCCACTTTAAAAAATAATACTGCTATAAGAATAACAATGTTAGAAAAGAAAAAAAAATATTTTCAGGAATCACACACTTGGAAAGTAAAAACATTATCTATTTTATCCAAATCGTTAGAGCAATTTCCGGGAAACTAAATAAAATCAACATATAGGATTATAGCAGTTTGTTATGGATCCATTCCTATGATACCATATAGGAATTTTGAAAAGATATATCCTTGTCAAACTTTTCCCTACTTCTTCGCTATGTAATCCCGTACATTATTATTGTTTGTATTTCTAATTAAATTTGCATTTTGTATATTGAATATGGTGCTGAAATTATTACCTAAATGGTACGTTAAATACTATTAAAATTCGAAAATGGGAAAGTAGAGACTTTGAGCTAACAGCAAAGAAAGCAAAAGAAATTTTATAAACTGTGTAATAATGTGTGTATAAATAGCCTTTATAAGTTTTTTCACAAACATGAACTTCCTTTTTCATTATTGTATTAGCAAATTTTTACAAGATATGAGGTATCTGTTTGCGAGTGAATACCCTTTTTATCTTTTTAGTAAATGTATTTCACAATTTATGTATAAATTAAAAGTAATCTAAATAATGAATTTGTAAATATATTTTATCTAAATCAATTTAATAATAAAATTAAGGACATAAATAATAAGAAATAAAAATACAATGAGCCTTCGATATTAATAAACGCATCTTCAATTTAATAATTTAATTTTGTAATATTTTTATAATAAAGTTCTGTAATTAGGAACACGCCACTGACTGATAGATTATAGAATAAAAATAATGTTAATAACAATCATGTTGATGTGTGTAATGATGTAAATAAATGTAACTAACCAATCACGCAAATTAAATCAAGCATTTATGCTTAAATTTGGCACAAGTTATATAAATCAACTGTGATGTATTTAATTGTCAATAATAATGAATTCCTTACTAAAATAGAAATAATAATTAAAATATCACTGTGGTATGACGATTAATAATCATATCTTAAGATGCACCTTTCTATTTTTGTTCACGAATTATCCATTCAAAGATCAGTTAGCATTGTATTAAAATTTCCTAATGAAGATCATTTAAGTCAAAGTCGTTTGATTAATGTTTTGTGACTAACTCCGGTGCCATTACTATAGCTACTTAAAATTGTATTACTAGTGTACTTTATACAAAGACTTGAATAAATTATGATATTATACACATACAGGCAATTTCAGTTTCATCTAATGGGTCACACCAACATGTGATAATTTGATAATAAAACCACTATAATCAATAGCACACTACAGACTATAAACTATAAATTTCTAGCGCGCTATTAAATACGCTATGTTATAGTCCGCTATTTATAAGAAAGCTTGTAGGAGGCCGGCAAGCGCGTTTAGTTTTGCAGCACGCTATATCTCGTAGCACGTTACATTATACGTCCGCGTGCTATATAAGAACATTATCCATTACTTATAATAAATCTGTAGAGAGGTCAATTCTGTACATGAAATATATTTCCAAAATAACTATCAGGGAAATTAGGTGATAGAAGGTGATTAGGGATCGCTACTGATACCAAAAATGCAAACAGTAACATTTTTGTCTGTCTGTATGTTCGTTATAGAAACAAAAACTACTCGACGGATTTTAATGAAACTTGGTACAATCATTCATACTCCTGGGCAGGTTATAGTATACTTTTCATCACGCTACGATCAATAGGAGCAGAGCAGTGAAGGGAAATGTTGGGGAAACGGGAGCAAAATATTTTTTAAATTTAACACCGGGTAATAGTTAGCTACTCGTACGTAAATACGCTGTGTAACTTCTGTTCTCCACCACTATGCGATTTGTATTTTTTTTTGTTTTTCTGATTTAACATTGATTATTGTATTGCAAAATGGCAAAAAATGCAAATGAAATGCGACTTAAAGCCCTTTACGCAAAAAGAGACATTGTTTTCTCGTATGTAGAACATTTGTGATCACATAAAAGATATACATTTAGAGTCAGTTCGGAGGATATTTATGTGTGAAATAGAAACAGTGGATTCGCTCCGCCATGATTATGAAAATTTATTGGACAAAATATATAATTTTTGGATGGCTTCGCAACGTTACCAACGTTCTTAAGAACCGTAAACTTCATGACTTTGTGGAATTTATATTTTTTAC